TAAAAATTAATATTTTAAAGTGTAATAATTATATTATCAAAAAAGTGAAACTTTTTTAAAATGACTATTATTTTGATATAGAGGGAGTAAAATAAAATTAAAAATATTTAATTATTTTAACATTATTATTTTAACATTATTACTCGGTAACACTGATGAGTCATTGTTACCTAATGCTCGTGGGACCCAACTCTATTATGCTTACGTTGACAAATTGAAGGGCAAGAAAAAGGCCAAATGTTATAGGTCTAAATTTTTTAATTAAATAAATAATTAAATCTCTTTCTTATGTCATTTAACCTCTGTTTGGGGAGTGGATTGGTTTTTTGATTTTTTAATTTTTTTTAATTATTTTTGCCTGAGGTTAAAAACCTTGGTTTGAAAAGGATTTTTCGACTTTTTAATTTTTTGGTAAGGCGTCTTACTGTTCATTTACCAAAGTGCCCTTGTTGTTGTTGTTGTTGTTTTTTTTTTTTTTTTTTTTTTTTTTTTTTTTTTTTTTTTTTTTTTTTTTTTTTTAATTTTCGGTTTGGATTTGGTTTTTTTTGGTAACTTCTCTTTCTTTTTTTTGGGGGGGTTTGGATTTGGCATATTTTGCTTAAACTTTTTTATTTTTTTATTTTGGGTTTTATTTTGGCATATTTTGGTAAAATATTTCTTTTTTTATTTTTTTATTTTGGGTTTGAATTTGCGGTATTTTGCTTTATTTTATTTTTTTTAAAATTTATGTTTTTGTCATTTTTATTTTTTTATACATTAATTAGTTCTTGTTTTTTAATTTACGTTTTTTGTCTTATTTATTTTTATTGGTATACAATAACATTTTTTTTATTTATGTGTTTCATTTATTTTTAATTTTAATTTAATTTTAAATATTTAATTTTTATTTTTATTTTAATTTTAATTTTATTTTAAATATTTAAATAATGTAAATAATCTAAAAAATTTAATAAGAAAAATTAAAATAAATATTCAAAAAATTTAAATCGTAAAAATTTAAATAATTTAGATATTCAAAAAATTTAAATAATTTAAAATTTTAATATTTTAAATTTAAAAACAACTCTACACTCAAATCATAACTAAACACATAAAACAAAAAATTTAAAAATATTTTTATAAAATAGAGTTTGAATTTATTTTTATAAAATATTTTAAAATTTAAAACATTAAAATCGTAATATTTAAAAATTAAAATATTTAAAAATATTCAAAAAATTAAAAAAATCGTAACATATTTGAATATTAAAATATTTAAAATCTTAACAAAATTAAAATATTTTTAAAATTTTTAAATATTTAAAATATTTGAAAAATTAAAATATTAATTTGAATTGAATTTTGAATTATGTGTTTGGTTATGAGTTTTGAAAAATAATGATTATGTTTTGAATTGAGTTTTGTAAACAATCTCTTAATATAATATTTTATTTTATTGAATTAAAACATTTATTTTTATTCTTTTATGATTATTTTAGGGGGGAAAAAAAACCCAAAATCCTTCCATGTCAAAAAATAGTGACAGTGGGTCAGTACCCCAAAAGTCACGCTGAGGGAACAATGCCAAGAATAGCTTCTTCTCTTTTCAGGGTATTTTGGTAAATTTACCCCACAAGGGATTGAACCCAACACATTGATTTTTGTTTTGTCTGGACGTGGCTAAATAAGCCTAATTTGTCCGGACGTGGCTAAAATAGCCTTAGTTTTGCTTCCCAAACGGTGCCTAATATAAGATATTTAATTATTTATTTGATAAAAAATTTGATATATTTATTATATATATTTTTTTGAATAAGGTAGCCCTAACATTATCCAAGAAAAAGCGATGGTAAATTACACAAACATCCTATGAGTATGAGGTTTCAAAAAATATAACAAAACCCTTCATTTTAATATAATTACAATAAGTGTTTTTAACAAAACTAAAGAGACAAGGCAAATATAAATAATGTGTATTTCAATATAAAAAAGATGATATTTTAATAAAATGAACTATTTTGAGACTATTTTAGTAAAATAATCAAAAAGTCATTAAAAAAAAAACAATTCATACAAAAAATTTAAAGATTCTTTCTCTTTTATTCTACTTTTTGCACTTTTTTTTTTAAAAATGTTAAAAATTTAGTTCTAAATATATTGATTTTTTATCCCGTATTTAAGTCAAAAAAAATTAAAAAAAGCCACTAAGTTACTTCTCAAGCCTAAGACTGAGTAAGGAATCCGTGAAATCTGTAATCCGATCCAGTCCAGTCCAATCCAGTAGGTTTAGATTAGTTTTTTGAATCCGTGGTTCGGTTCCGGATTGAAAAATTAAAAATCCGTAATTCACGAATTGATTCCGGATTGAACCCCATGGTTCTGGATTAGAACCGATCCAACCGTATACAAATAGTCTATATTTTTATTATACACTCTCCTGCATAGTATCTTCTCTTATTTCATATAAAACTTCCAAACCTAAACTTGCATAGTATCTTCTTTTATTACTTTTGTTTGCTAGTTTTTTAGTGTTAATTTGTAATGATCTAAATACTTATGGTGGAACTAGTTTTCTTATGGTTGTTTAAATTCTAGAACAGTTTGTCGCAATTATGAAAAGACATGTTGCTATTGTGAAACTAATATGGTGTTATATTTATATTTTTATGAAATTAAAGTGTTATATATATTTTTTTGTTATTTAATTATGTAAATTCGTGGTCCTAAACCGATCCAATCCGTGTTTAAATGGATTGGTTCGGATTAGTTCCACGATTTAAACGGATTAGATTGGTTTTAATTTTTCAAGATCCGTAAATAACGAATTGGTCATAGTTTTACTCCAATCCGATCCACTTCGGACCATACTCACCCTTACTCAAGCCTAGTGTTTTCTGAAAGACCTCATTTTGGCCCGGATTATTAGTACAGTAGGTTGGGGGATGGGTTACTAGTGGTATGGTGAAATTAAGGGGTTGTTTGGTAATGATTTTTTGACTAAAAAAATTATAAAGATAATATAAGTTAAAAAGTTAACAAAATAAAATATCTCATCTAAATTATAATTATTTTATTTTTGAAAAAATCAAACCAAACAAACTTTTAATTTCAAATTAAAATAGTCAAAAAATTAAAAAACAACTAAAAAAATCAATGACCAACCAACAACTAAGTTTAAAATATAGGATAAATTATATTTATTTATGTAATAATATGATGATATTAGTTAATTAATATTAAATATATAAAATTACAATGTGACTTATTAGTTGTTTTTGTAAAACGATTCAATTCTAATTCTATGGGGAATGGATTTGAATGTCACATCTTTCATAGAAATTGTTAGTCTCCTCATTATAGGATATTTTTAATCGCATGAAATTTTAGTTCCATGATCATTTTTTGAAACAAACAACAACTCTATAAGACCCACGAGTTTCGTAATCTAACCCCATGGATTATGGAGAAAAACAAGTAGAGCTAAAGCTTTATGGGAGTTCAATTATACTATTGTTAAGAAACACACATCAACTCTATAAGACCCACGAGTTTCGTAATCTAACCCCATGGATCATGGAGAAAAACAAGTAGAGCTAAAGCTTTATGGGAGTTCAATTATACTATTGTTAAATTTGTAAAATTTATATTTTATTTAAACTCAAGAGAGGTAACTGTAATTAACAAGAAATTATTCATTGCCTCAAAAGTATTACTCCACACCATTTATGTTTAGACAAGTGTACAATTGTCTCCCAAAAGAGACAAATAAATGATAAGACCTACTATTTTAATCAATAATACGTAAATTAGGACACCACCTAAATTTGCTCATAAGACAATGAATAATTTCTCGTAAGAGCATCTCTATCAGATCCTTCCTATCAGATCCCTTATACAACTCCTTAAATTTAAGATTGCGTTTGTAAGGAGTCACTGTAACTCCCTTATATCTGACCATGGTCGTCCACCTGGATATCCCAAATGAATTATCTGGGCAAAACTTGATTCACCGATCGTCCATCTAGACGTCCAACAGGTCGACTTCCCGGATGTCTAGTCAGTTGACCACCCATTTCTTCTCCTCCTTATACTACTCCTCCTTATTTATACTATTCGTCCTTATATATTCTTCTCACATTTCAATCTTTTTCCACCACCACTGTCGCCACAAGATTTGTTTTTAGATAAAGATTTGAACTTTGTAATGGACACGGCTCTTCTCGATCTTCCAACTTCACTTGATTGGTCTTTCTCTGAATTTGGAGAAAATCCATTAAAATAAAACCCACAACTTGAAACATATATCTGACCATATTTTCCAACAGAGCCACTGACAAAATTGTGTTCATCACTAGCACAGGAAGAAACCTTTCACCTGAGCTTGGAATGTTGTACAATCCCATCTTTCTCTCCCCTAAAAAAAACAAACACAAATGACTCAATCACAGAGAAAAAGAGAACAACAATGAGAAGAAGAAAGCAAATTTGCTTCCACAAATTGAAACATAAAACCAACCTGATGTGCAATGATGTGTCTAAACTGATTACTTTCGTTTGTGATTGGTTTAGATCTCATTGATGTTAGCTGCAATGAATGGAAAGATTTCTTGCGTTGGAAGGCTGATTCAAGTTGGATAATAAACACCATCCTAATTAATTCAAAAAGAAGATGGATGAAACAGTGAAAGAATAGGGAAAAGATATTTTAATAATATTTTAGGGAAAGAATATAGAGTTTATTGAGAGAAGTAGAAAAAAAAGTGAATCATAAAATATGAAACGAATTTAAAATAAAAAATAAATTTTTTAATAATATTTTAAGGTAAAATATAAGGAAACCGATGAATATGCTCTAATTAACCCAAAAACAACAAAAAAATCCGTCCTATAGCCAATACAGTTTTAGCTTCAGTCACAAAAAGTACAAACAATTTGAGCACAATAAGTTTGGTCAAAATCTGGAATCAGATATTTCTTCTCTGACAATAGCTTCTTATAAATAAATAAATCCAAAAAATGCATACCAACCGAATCAAATGTTGTATATCAAATGTTGTATATTAACAATTATTACAATCGTAACAAACCTTCTCATCTCACTAGCTGCATCACCAACACCATCAGCAGCAGGGCATTCTAGTGAGAGAAACAATATAGAGATAGAGAGAGAAATGGGGGGAGAGAAGAGCAGCGATCACTCTGTTCTATCTTCATCTTCTTCGTCTTCTCTTTCGTGTTTTTCGCATTTTTGGTCCTCTGCTCTCAGAAGCAAAATTCTACCTCCTCACACCGAGACCTCCGTCCGAGCAATCTCCGGTGATGGGCTCGTTCGCCGCCTCGGCCTGTTCGACCTCATCCTTCTCGGCATCGGTGCCTCGATTGGCGCCGGAATCTTCGTCGTCACCGGCACCGTCGCTCACGATGCCGGTCCAGGTCAGTGCACGCTTGAAATGTGATCGTTCTAATATTACTGTTTTGGATCGTTATATGTTTGACTTAGCATTAATTGAGCTTGAATTGTTGTATGTATTTTGTGTGTTGGTTCTTTGCTTGGCATTTTGGATCATAAAGATTTGATTTTTAATCGAGATTAATTTCACTTTTGTCTCGTAAACTATTACTGTTTTTAATTTCATCATTAAACTATCAATTTAATACATTTAGTCTCTAAGCTTTCTTTAATTAATGTGGTCTCATTGGAGTTGATGTACAAATCAATAATCAATAACCGTTTGAAGATTAATTTGATGGCCAAAATAGTCATTTTCCAATTTGAATAACTTGAACAATAAAAGAAAATACTTTTTTTTCTTAGAGCATCTCCAATCCTTGACTTTTTTTTCTTTCAATTTAATGAAAAATTCCTAAAAGATCATCTCCAATCCTTTCATTAATTGTTTATCAAATCAAGAAAGAGTCATTTTTTTCATCAAATTAAGAACTCATCAAATCTTTAGTCAAATTTGAATTTGATGAAAATTAAAAAACATGAAGCATTGGAGATATTTTTTTACAATCAAATTTGATGAAAAGGAAAATTTGGGATAAGAGGGGAATGTTTAAAATATTTGCTGAAAAGATTAGAGTAGTTCATATCAAATTAAGTATTTTACTCAAATTTGGAATCAAATTAGATGAAAAAAATTGGTGAAGAGTTGAAGATGCTCTTACTATTGTAAACAAACTACACCTTACAACCAATTTGATGGGTATTTGATAGTATAGTTAAATTTTTAAATTTTGAAATGAATTTTTTGACCATCAAATTAGAGTTCTAATAGCTATTGATTTGTACAGTTTCTCTAATTGGACTACATAAACTAAAACAAGAAACTTTGGGCCTGTTTGATTCTAGGATAATAACATAGGATTGGACTGCGAATCCTATCCAATTCATATTTCTATGGTTGGATTACACAAATAGCATCCGACTTAGTAATACATAGGATTCTTAATCCTGCAAAATTGTAGTATATAGATAAAGTATGCATCAATTGAGCTTAAATTTTGATGGATGCTGTAATTTTTTTTTATTCATATTTGCTTTTTTTATGCTAAATTCAGGTGCATTTTAGATATTAACTCTTATGTTAATTAACTTTAGCATGCTTAAGTCAACTGAGTATTAGATATTATCCATATGACTGTTTAATATGGAATTTCTGGTGTTTGGCTAAGTTTATGTGTTAATTTGAAATCACTTGGCAAGCAGACATCAAGCCTTGCTTGCAAGGAAGAAGAGCTTGAGGTGTAAAGAGATATTTTCGATTACCTGAAAACTTAATTGAAGGGATATGATAAAATTTTCATTTAGCCATGAAGGAGAAAACTAATTTTTAATTTTAATTTTAATTTATTCCTTATTTGGGAAATTTAGCCAAAACCACTCCATTGGACTCTTGTTTGGTGAAAAGGACAGTCATAAATCCCCTAAGGAGGAGGCGCATAATTAAGGAAGGACAAAGCCAAATATCTTTTTTTTTTTCTTGGAGAATATTGCCAGAGTAACATGTTAATATAAGGTTGTTTGGGATGTGCTATATAAGTGCACTTTTTTATTTTTGGCTAAAAAAGTAGAGAAAAGAAAAATGTATGTTTGGGATCACTTTTTCACTTTTTACGAAAAGATGTGTAATAAAATATTGTAGTAAAATTAAAATGACCATTCTATCCTTGTTGACTTTTTGACTTTTGGATTGTTGAATTCAAAGGCTTCCCCCACAAGTTTCCCTCAAATAGTATGGATTTTTTGGCTTTTTTAATAATTTTTTGACTTTTAAACTTTTGTAAGTTATCCCAAACTAAGCCTGTGTTACTATTTACATCAATTTCGACAGTAATAATATATATTTTTTATATTAATTATTATTATTTTTAAGAATTTCATAGACGACATGGATCTTATTTGATAGGTCTTGATGAGAGGATGCTAAAAATATTAATTTTATTAAAAACTGACATCTAAATCAAAATTTATATTATTTTAAAGATTAATATTTTGGTAATAGTGGTATGTGTTGGACTTTTCAGGGAAAACTTTTTGTGCTTCTCCTTAATACATTAAAATTTTATTATGAGGGGGCTTTGACCAAATCCCCCTTTTTATTTTTCCTTGATAGATAGGTATTAGTTTCCTTAACACACGTGGAGCCAATCTTCCTCTGCAGTTTTTCATGCAATCTGCAAAATCTTGAACATTTTTTTATACACTGCACTTTGAAGCTGCCAAGTGAGACCTTATGGCATATTTCATTTTGTTGTATCTGTACATGTTATATTCTTTTCCTTGTGTGGCTGAGAAAGGCCTGTTGTTGGTATTATTTGTAAAAATGGCACGAGATTCATAGTAGAGACCTCTCTGGTTTTCTGCACGGCAACTTGGTGAATTTTATGGAAATCAATGAAAATACCTGAGTTCTATGTCAGTATATTTTTAATTGAGACATTGCAAGAGAAACTGAATAATTGGTAATTGAGTTGGCTGATGTCCCCTTTTATTGATTTTTGATTTTTGATTTTTTTCTTCTTTAAGGTTAGAATGACATAACTTTATTATTTTTAACCCATATAGTATTTTAATCATACACATTTAGGAATTGTAGGAGCTTCTGGGTTGTGTTGGGCCTGGGTACAGTGTGGCAATATATAATTGTATGTAAGTATTGTTCCACCATACAACGTGTAAATCAAAATACAAAATATGCAGCGGATAAAATGTTTAGATCATACCTTTTTGATGATAGAACCTCGTGGATAAATCACGTGCTTCCAGAGTCTGATAAACCAACCCAGCAGTGAAGTGATATCACAGATTGAATATCACCCACACAAATCACAGTGCAAATGACTTGATCGTTGTTTTTGGGAGAGAGTCAGTATATGGTTAGAAACAGATCATACGTTGTTTCTCTCTTGATTACCTATAACCATATATCAGATATATAATATATTATTATATCTATCCATATCAGTTAAAAACTGATAATATCTGTATCTTGAGTGGTTATCCTAAATAGGTTTGAATTCAATTTCAAAACCTATTTGGATAGGATTCCAAATTCAAATTCAAATGGTCATGCCACATGGGCGCCCATTACTAACATCTCCCACTCGCACATGAGTTGGCATGACACTGCCACATCTCTATCTCAATCTCCCAAAAAAACGAACAATCTCATACTAGCCAATGCACCGTGCGACCGCTGAGAAACCCTGCATGACCAATTCAACATTGTTTTACAATCTTTACATTGATATACAAAACAGTGTTCTATGAAATCATATCTTGAAAATTCAATGTCTTGGTTTTCATAAGCCATAATAGTAAACCTTTCCAGCTTGACATTTTAACAAACATCTCATCCACACATAATCAGAATTCATAAAAATGAAAATTTTCAAATGCTTCAAAAGAACCCAAATTCAGATATAACATAACAATTACAAATCTAAAAACTGTAACGCCATTGATGATTTTGATGATAGAGCTCAGGTAAAATTAAACAACAACTGATAAACCAAAACCAAGTTATTCCAAATCGAAATTTTCAAAAAATAGGATATAGAGAGAGTATACCCTTTACGAGCGCGCGTGGCTGCGGCGTGGTGGCGCGTGCATACCACGCGCCGCCTTCCAGGGTACTGACTGGTCCGATTTTTATACTGCCGGACTCCTTTTTTCAAAATAAAACCGTTTATGGTATGAAAAAAGACATTAATGAACATAAAAAAATATTTATGCTCTTAATCTAATCAAAGTAGATTTTTTTTTTCCTTTACAAACATTCATGCATATAATGTAAACATACTCATGTAAAAATATACACATGATTAAAAAGAAACACGAAAATATCCATCAATGGCTCTGATGCCAATGTAAATCAAAACACAAAATATGCAGCGGATAAAATGTTTAGATCATACCTTTTTGATGATAGAACCTCGTGGATAAATCACGTGCTTCCAGAGTCTGATAAACCAACCCAGCAGTGAAGTGATATCACAGATTGAATATCACCCACACAAATCACAGTACAAATGACTTGATCGTTTGTTTTTAGGAGAGAGTCAGTATATGGGTAGAAACAGATCATACGTTGTTTCTCTCTTGATTACCCATAACCATATATCAGATATATAATATATTATTATATCTATCCATATCAGTTAAAAACTGATAATATCTGTATCTTGAGTGGTTATCCTAAATAGGTTTGAATTCAATTTCAAAACTTATTTGGATAGGATTCCAAATTCAAATTCAAATGGTCATGCCACATGGGCGCCCATTACTAACACAACGTTTATTAGATGCTAGTTTGCCAAGAAGCCCGGGTACTTCTGCGAAGCCGTCCTGGGTACAACTTAAATATTGATACTTCTTGGGTACTTCCAAATAAGCGTTCAAGTTTTCCCTAGAGTTATGCATAACTGGAGAACAAAGTTTCTAATATTGACGACATATCTTATTCAAATAAATAAGGGATTTGGTTGGTAGCTCGAAATTTAGGGGCCCGAATGCCCCTAAATTTCCATATAAGGCAAAAAAAAAAAAAACAAGGCAAAAAAAAAAAAGAAAAAAACAAACAAACTTATCCAAAAAAGGAAATTAGGGCCATTAGGGCCACTGTTTTTAGGGCCACAATTCATTTTCCAATAAATAAATAGAGAACCAGTAGTTATTTGAATTATGGTTGGGTGCACATTCTGCATGCCTTAGTTACATGCTTTTTCTTGTAAACTGTAGTTGTGGAGGGAACAAGAAGGAAAAGGGCCTTCTTTGAGTGAAGCCAAACAACCAATTAATTTTGCCAAGATCAGGATTCTTCTGCATTTTCGTTATCAGTTTTGTCAACAACTTAATTGAGTATGTTAAAGTCCTAAACACAAGCAGCCACTACTAGCCCAACCAACCACATCTACAAGATGCCACTACTAACATTATTTTGAAAGCCAATAATTATCTCCTTCAATGACTCGGTGGATTATTATGTCATGACCGATAATAACTTTCTATGTCAACACCTCATGAATTAGTTCCACATGAGCCATTACACGCATTTTAGAAACCTAAATGTGGGTGCCCATGCCTTGTAATACTGAGGGCTCACCAAAGGTAAATCTGATTTACCCTAATAAGATATAATAGATTGATATGCTACTTCTTGTGTCCTTGCTACTTCAGTATCTTTTAAAAATTCCTCAAAGTGGGCGGCATGTTTCTATCCTGTTGTATGGTTATATCCATGCTTCATAACTGTGTATCTTTCATGATGTAAAGATTTCACTGGCTAAAGAATGCCATAATGTGTTGCATTTCGAGTGTGGTTTATTGACTCAATCTTTCATTAAAGCTGAACTTCATTGTTTTAGAAGAATCCATTCAAATTAGCTATACATTCTTGCTGGAACTTCAATTTTTGGTTTGCCCAAAATTTGTATGTTGTTTCTAGTGATCCTCATACATTCTTTACTACTTCAATGCAGGAGTCACAATTAGTTTCATGCTAGCTGGAGCATCTTGTGTGCTCAATGCGCTGTGCTATGCTGAGCTAGCTTCTCGTTTTCCTGCTGTTGTCGGGGGAGCATACCTATATACGTACACCGCTTTTAATGAGCTTACTGCTTTTCTTGTGTTTGCGCAACTGATGCTTGACTACCATATTGGTGCAGCTAGCATAGCAAGAAGCTTAGCAAGCTATGTAGTTGCAGTACTAGAGCTCTTTCCTTTTTTTAAGGATAACATACCAAGCTGGATTGGACATGGTGGTGAGGATTTTTTAGGTGCTCTATCTATTAACGCATTAGCTCCAATTCTCCTAGCACTTCTTACACTAGTTCTTTGTTTGGGAGTTGGAGAATCTTCTGTGTTAAACTCAGTCATGACTTCAACAAAGGTGATCTTTCTATCATATATTTCTTTTATGGGGCTGTTGACAAAGGATCTCTATGTATAAGGATATATTGTATATTTTTAAGAATCAGTAGAATCATTTGAAGCAAAAGCTTGAAGGCTTGAACAGAAGGCAAAATTGACACTTCCATGAAGTGCACAACTTATGAAATGAGGAAACCGGAGAGATATACTTTTACATGGCTAAATTAACAAGGCGTATGGCTCATGGGGATTATGCTCCCACATAAAGTGAGTTTTTTTTTAATTAGTTAATTAATTTTTTTTAAACAGAGGGTGGTTGACCTAAGCAAAGAATTGGTTAATCGTACAATCCTACAACTTTAAAAATTGGAATATGGCATTTGTTCCATCCTTCAGCTTGATACAAAATGAGGAAATTGAAAATAGGCCTTGTCACTAATTGTTAGGGAAAATGAAACAAAGTTAGACCATTCTTATGTATTTTAACCTATGGTATTTATTTAAAAGCATAAACTTATTTTTAACTTCCTATTTGATGTTCCCTAAAAAAAATCTAGGGATGTGATATCTTCTTCTAGGTCAGAAGGTTGCCAATAAGAATGAAAATTTAACGTGAAACATCAATAAATGTGAAAATAAAAATATTTCTAGAGAGCTTTAAAAGAACAATACTTGGAATTGGGCAGGAAGTTTTGGCAATGCATCAGGTGCTATTTTGTAGCAAAAATCAGAGGAACATATATGACTCTTTAGTGATTTTATTTAGAGATTCGTGAATATTTACTAGTAGTAAATAATTAAAATTTCATGAACATGTCAATCTACTGTGAATATGACAACTGTAGGCTGCTGGGTTATACACCGCCAGCCATGGATGTTGTACTAATGTAGCTCGTGTTAGATCATCAATTGTCCCAAAAGTTTAAGCTATTAGGAAATTGGCCCAAGAATGTATATCAAGCTATTTAACGCCCTCCTTCACGTGTGACCCCGTCTTGCACGTAGAGATGCAAATATCCATATATAGAGAAGCATAATGCAAACAAGGAACAAATGCAAATGGAGAGACTTGAACCAAGACCTCGCCCACCTAAGCCCTGATGCCATGTTAGTTCACCAATTGTTCCAAAAACTTAAGTTGTTTGGAAATGGGCCCAAGAAACCAACAACTAGTAACTTTAACTTCTACTGGTCCACTGTATGTCTTTTAGAATAGCTACTAGATTTGGATTGTTTAGTTATACTTGAGAGTGAGTGTGCTATTCACCTTATTGTGTACGAAAAAGTTAAGATGAGAAGAGTGGGAGGTGTCCAAATGCTATTTAAGTTGTTATGGGATTGTTCATTACAATTGAATGCAAGCACAATCATTGGCGTCATAGGTTTAAAGCAATATGAATGTTAAGGCTTTATTCTTTATGTTCTGGGTATTGGCAGTATACTTTTCAATACATGTTGGCTATGTAGAGTTTACACGTTCTGTTTTTACATATGGCACAGGCTAGTATTCTCTCTGGCCTTAAGTACATTGTGATTTTGGGATTGGACTCTTATCTTTGTATCAGAACTTGAGCTTTAGAATTTCTACTGGCAATTAAACAAACCAAGGAACACAGGCACATGGGAGGGGTTTATGTATTTTGTTGGGTGGGGAAAGGTGAACAACATTTAATATTAGGTTACCAAATTCTTGATGAATTTATCTTCATTTGTTTTAGTTTCCTTGGGCTTAAGATATTTCATGACAGTCGTTTAATGTTTCTTAATTCTAGCTTGCATTTTACAATTTTGAAGGCCATCTAGGCATATAGTTGTTACGCATTGGATATATATGCTTGCCAAAGGTTCAAATCTTCTGCTTTACACAGTTTAGGGACTGTTTTACATACCATGGTAAATTAGTTTCATATTGTGGTTTTCTGAAGTCATCTTTTCTCTGATTTAATGGTTTTGGACATTCTTATGCTCCAGTTTCTTATTTGCATCTTCCATAGAAGGGATGATGTTCTACATTAGGTGCAGGCATGCCTACCTAGTGATCTATGAAGCATGGGTATGGGTACGAGTATTGGTACTGGTACTGATACGATACGGATACGTCGATATGGAAAAATTTTAAAAAAATAGGGTACGGGTATGGCTTGGTACACTTGTAAAAAAAAAAAAATTTATTTAGATAATGCAAAGACTAATTAAATGGTTTAATTTGTTAAGGTCCAACCTACAATTAACATTTAATGCCAATAGTAAATGTATAAATCAAAATTAAATGTCTATATATTAAATAACTTACAAACCATAGTTTAATTTTAAAATCATGCTAAGTATAAAACAAAAAGTCTAGTGAAAGGAGTTTTATCTCTGTAGTAGAAAAAAATATTATTTCAACTGAGGTACGGTATGGTTTTGGTATATACTAGGTACTTTTTAAGGAAAAAAAAATTGGGTTCGTGTTTCGTGTATCCAGTACGTATGCAAAAGTACCATACAAGGTACCACACGCCATTAAGTACCCGTTACGGGTGTGGCATGTTTTTCGAAGTACCCATGATCCTCTTCCACCTAATAAGGTTGTTGATTGAATCCTGTGAAGAGACCAGGAGTATGACAAAGGTTGGATGGTGCATCTTGAAGAGGTACCCCAGGCTTTGGAATTAGGGAAGATCATCAGTGGTTTTGGGTTAACTCAAAACTCAATGAGTTTTCAAATTGTTGAGGTGGTATCGGTCTTCCTTCGTGTAGAAATTCCCAGTGCAACAATGGAGTTTGGGTGATAATGAAGGACTGGGAGTTAGCATGTCTTTACTACATATTCTTGGTTTTGTTAAAATCTCTATGGCTTTTACAGTCATTTATTTTAAACATTTTCGTTTAGACCTTTTTTTGTGCTCAACATTCTGTCTGATAAAATATTCTTGGAGTCATTATTTGATAATAACTATTTCAGTTTTGTTTGTTTCGAACTGATAGATTCCTTTACAATTTTTGTGTGATACTTGCACAGTTCGCCTATGTCACTGTGTATGTGTAAAGCTCATCCATGTTTGGTGCATCAACCATATGTTCATTATTCCATTTGAATGTTAATATTTGAGACTGATTTTCCCATGAGTTGGCTGCTTGTTGCAGATCAACTGGTAAAATGTGCTCTGTAGTCTTTGTATTTTTCGTTTCTTCCACATACTTTTAAAGATGAAGACCAAATAATTCTAAAATGCATTCCATTCCGTAGTTCACACATAATGTAGATTTATTGTATGCATTACATCTGTTATGCAGTTTGGCTGATGGTACTGTGATGCACTGCAGGTACTCATTGTCATTTTTGTCATAATCGTGGGGGCTTTTAAGATTGATGTTTCAAATTGGACTCCTTTTGCTCCAAATGGTTTTAAAGCAATACTGACAGGAGCAACTGTAGTATTTTTTGCATATGTTGGGTTTGATGCAGTTGCTAATTCAGCTGAAGAATCTAAGAGACCACAAGTAAGTTTTATTGAGTTGAATTTGATACTTATGGTTCTACAACGTCAGTTTTCATGCTTAATGTGGGCATGTTTGTTTGTCATATTGGATTAGTTTTTATTTATTTTAATCTCTGATCTCAAAATGACATTTCAGCGAGACTTACCATTGGGCATCATGGGGAGCCTTCTCATTTGTGCCGCATTGTATATTGGTGTTTGCCTAGTGTTAACTGGAATGGTATCATACCAGTTCCTTGGGGAGGAAGCTCCTTTGGCTGAAGCTTTCACATCCAAGGGTTTGAAGTATGTTTCAGTATTGATCAGCATTGGTGCTGTTGCTGGACTTACTACTACGCTTCTTGTTGGTCTTTATGTTCAGGTAAAATGCTGTAAACTTCCACATCATTGACATTCCTTCATCACATACATGGCCAGTCTAAATTGTTGAACTTTTCTTATGAGCAGTCTCGGTTATATCTTGGGCTTGGAAGGGATGGTTTACTGCCTTCAATATTTGCTAAAGTGCACCCGACACGTCACACTCCCATTCATTCTCAGATATGGGTTGGTATTGTTGCCTGCGTCTTGGCAGGGCTGTTCAACGTGCATGTGCTCTCACACATTCTTTCTGTCGGCTCGTTGGTATGTTGCTGTTGAACTTATATCTTTAGCAAGTAGAGATTCATAAACGTATTTCTTCTTGTTTTAGCAAAAGCAGGATGAATCTTCTGCATGTTCATTTGAATGATGTTCCTGTAATTACGAATCGCAACATAGCCCTTCTTTTTAGAGATAATGGGTGTATGTTTGGTTTGGTTTTGGGAGAGTAGTTTTTAAAAATTGTTTTGGAGAGAGAGTTTAGAAATTTTTTTGGTTTGTTTGGTTGTATATTTTGAAAGTAGTTTTGGAGTTTGGGAGTTTGGAATGATTTGATATTTTGTTATAATTAAGTAGATGTGTGTGAGAGAAAAGGTGATTGAGAAGGAGAGAGGAGAGAGAAAAAGTGATTGATTGATAGGTAAGAGAGAGAAAGTGATTTTAGAAATTGTTTTGGAAAATTTTCAAACCAAACAAATTTTTTAGAAAATTTTTCCCAAAATCACTCTACAAATCCAAATCAGACATACCCAATAATTCTCCAAAGCTTGGTTACATATGATTTTATGATACAGGATTTAAGAATTTATGAAATTAATTCTAGAAGATATGTGTGCCAATTGGAAGTGCTTCCTAGCTTGAGCATTTTAGTCATATTTAGAATTAGGTATATGCAGCTCACATGTACACTTTGGTTTGTTCCAGACAGGCTATTCTGTTGTTTCGGCTTGTGTGGTAACCCTTCGTTGGAAGGATAAGACAAATCAAGTTTCTAGAAGGTGGATGTCAAACTGGAGGGAAGGTGTCCTTTGCCTAGTCATAATTGGCTGTTGTGGTTTTGCTGCTGGAGCCATCTACCGCTTCAATGCTTCATTTATTTTTCTGATTGTAGCCGTTGTTATTGCAATCTTTGCTGCTGCTGCTCTTTATTGCCGTCAAGTAAGTGCAGTTTAATATTAGACATATGGGATATAATTAACTATTAAATTCTTGCATACTGTTTGCACCATGAATCCAGAAATAGTTAGAAGTGTTACAGAAAGCTGATGACAAAGTAAAAAGAGAGATTGAGGGTTTTTTTAAAAGGCCAATTATTTTAGAAACCAGAAAAATTTATTAAAATTGGCTCAATCAAGTGAAGAAGCTGATTTATAAACTTTTTAGAACTATTTAGGTTGATTGGTATGGTTTTCGTTTGTGTGTGTGTGTGTGTGTTTAGAAACAAGAACAATGAAAAAGTTCCTTCATTTTCATGTTGTTTACATTTTTGCGCAAAAATGCTTTTAAAAATTCAGAGTACATAAAACAGTAAATGATGCCCTTATTTTTTTCATTGTAAGTGTTATAATTTGGATATGTTTGAACATTATTTCTTTTTTCTCATATCTTATAAATTGGATATTCATTTGGACAAAGCCTAATGAAAGGATGCCCTACAATAATGTATGGTGGGTCAATCTTTCAACTTTTTGGGTTTGTGGCAAGAAAGGTAAGAGTAGGGTTCAAGGAAGGACTTGGGATTCAATTGATTGCGGTTTAAGGCTGGTTTTAGTGTGAAGTTAAAAGACCTAGCTTTCTTGTTTTTTATTACACTTGGGGACATCTATGTTTTAAGGAGTAGAATGGTAGGATAACTAGGGTTAGGGTTTTGAGATTCAAGGTTCAGAGTTTTAGGGATTAATTAGGGTGAAAGAAGGTTGATTTGTGTCTGTGAGTTATGCACAATGGCCCTATAAATTAAAAGAGACAAAGAAGTAGAAAGAGAGTAGAAATTTTGTGAAATAGAGGAGACAAAACTTGTTTCTTGGTGCCTAGAGGTGGGTGAATAGGCCAAACCTTAAGAAATATTACAAATTAAGGGTCCGTTTGGTTTAGTTTTAGAATTATGATTTGAGTGTAGAGTTGTGTTTTGAGTTTTGAGTTTTTGAATTATGATTTGAAAAGAGAAAATTTGTTTGATTATGAGTTTTGAAATTAGTTTTGGGATGATTTGTACTTTTTTTTTTTTGATTGATTGATGTATAGAATGTGAGAGAGTGTGAGAGGAGAGATGAGAGAGAAAAAGTGATTGATTGATTGATTAATAATAATTAAAAAACAAGAGAAAGGAGTTTTGAAAGTAATTTTGAATCGTATTTTAAAAATTTGTTTGGTTATAAATTTTGATTCAAATCATGATTTGAAAACAGAATTGAGTTTTAAAAATTAAGCCAAACGCTACCTAAATTTTTTTTGTTTAATTTTCTTGGCATTGATTAGTTAGCATTTAGGAGCAACAACAAATCGCAATTATAATCAAGAGAGAGAGAAGCAATTTTACATGGAACACCTTGAAGAAAACTCTCTGCAAGCCAAAAGCTACAGACATGCCTAACGAAATAAATCCACTATGAATCAATAGAGTTCCCAACTTGGTTTACTTCACTCTAGTAGTCTTTCGCAAAGCTCCTTGCACTTCACTCCACATGGCTCTGTTTCCGCAAAAACTTTTGATCCACTTAGGGTCCATAGAACTCCTTGGTTCAGTCTCCACTCCTTGTGTGGCTCCGTTACCAGTCAATGGATGAGTAGGCAATGCAAGTTTGATGTGGGTTTTTAGCAAAAAACTCTCAAACATGAATTTCTCCTAAATCTTCCTCACAAAAAATCAATTTATTGAGTGAGAGAAATTGCGCTTCAAAAGATGTATGAAAATCATTATGCTCCGGTTTTTCTTTCAAGACTTAATGTGTGTAGTTCATGCAAAAGAGATCAGGTTTATATGTCTATATCAATCAGAATTTTCACCTAATTAAACTAGGTTCCACGTACACTCGAGCTGGATTCGGGTGCGCTTCTTCAGGCACACACTTTTGGACTAGAAAATAACCAGCCAGGCCTAGAGCCCTTTTGAGCTGACATCGAGTGGGGCATTCTTGAATTTTCTGATGGACTGGAAAATAACTAGCCAGGTGCAAAGCTTGCTCGAGTGGGCTTCACATTAGGTATTTTCAAAAAATAAAAAGACGGTTAGTTCCAGGTGGCACCTTTCAGAGTTCTAAAGTCCAAAGGCTTGGTAGGCCACTTGAGTAGCCTTTGAGTTGGGCTTCAAGCGGCTCTTCAGGAGATGTGCATGAGTTTAAAAAAAAAATTGATTGTCTAGATGCACTAGAACTACAAATAACTTGGGTAGGCCAATTTTGAGCAATTACAAATCAAGTTTCCCAAACTCTGAGAATGTAACGGAGCAATCCTTGCATCTTTAGTGCTGGTCTTCAAGTCAAACACTTTCAGACACTCATGTGAGAATATATTGTATATATGGCATGATTGTGTGGTGTATATAGGAATCATTGTATTTCCTTTTTCAGTCATAGATTTAGGATTATATAAACGGATGAACTCTTTGTAAACATATACAATTAAATATACAGAAAACCATTTAGAAATCTTACATGGAATCAAAGCCAAAAACCCTAGAAACTGTTGCTCTCTCTCTTATTTGTGAGTTGTGGGTGATCTTCTCCCCCAATCGCAATATTGAAACAGGTTCTTGACTGATCTCTCTCTGGTTCTCAATGCCGATTCTCTGGTTTGCATCGTGACATTAGTTCAGTCGCTGCTTCAATCCCTTAGTCGACGTCGTGCCTCGTCTTCGCTGGTTGGAGTCGAGCCGTTTGGTCTTCTTGGTCGATCGACTCAAGTTCGTGATCATCTGAAGCTTCTCTCTCCCTCTCTAGAATCACGATTGTGTTCGATTGAACTCTCTCGTTCGAGCCTTGGTTCATGCTATCGAAGAGGTGTTTGATTTGCCTCACTCGGTCGACCTCTGCTCTGCTCGGTTTGTATCTCTCTCTCTCTCTCTCTGTCTTTATCTCTGTCTCTCTGTGTTCGTGGCTTTGACTCTCTCAGCACTGTTATTTGGGTCAAAACTTTTATTTACAGTTTGGCCCACTTGTTAGTCATTATTATACTTTAACCTGTGAATCTTTGATTTATTGCAATGACAGACACCAAAATCCAAGCAATCAGATGTAAATTCACTGGTGCCAATTATGCTTATTGGACTAGTGTCATAAAGAATTTCCTCCTTGGTCAGAAAAAATGGGGCTATATTTCTAGTTCTGTTCCTCGTCCATTGGACCTAAAACAATAAGGATATCTGACTTCCTGTGACACTTGGGATTGTGATAATGTCCAAGTTCTGACCTGGTTTCATAATTCTATGGATGACCGTGTTGGAATGATGTTTTCCAAATACAGTACTGTCAAGAAGGTGTGGGACTATTTATTGGGTGTGTATTAGTAGTCCAACTTTGTCAAGCAGTATAAGTTGGAAACCGTTATTCAGAGTGCTCGTTAGTGGGATCAATCTATTCAGGACTTCTACATAGAGATGACCGGCCTCTAGGATCAGTTAGCTCTCATGGAACCATCTAGCCTCAAGGCACTAGACGCATATGTTGAGTTTTGGGAGCAATGTCGTTTAGTGCAGTTCTTGACGGCTCTCTCCCCTCAACATGAGGCTATCCATGATGGCATCCTTCATCGGTCTCCTCTCCCCTCTGTGGATGCTATTGTTCGTGAGCTTCTCTTTGAGGAAACCCGTCTTAAGATGGCCAGTCAGACTCTGTCTTCATCTGTCTTCTTGGCTCCTACTCAGCCTCCTCTGCTGTTGAACCCCCCACCTCATCAGCTTCAAGCCACTGCAAAGCCCAAGAAGGGGCCACTAGCCTCTGATGAGTGTGCTTTTTGCCATCCGAAGGGCCATTGGAAGTACAACTGTCCCAAGAAGGACCGTCAGTCTTCTCAGCCATCTCAGCCACAGTTCTGAGGTCCTGCTCCGAGTACTTTTCATCCTCCTACTGGTTATACTACGTCTGCTCCGGCTTCTGATCCTAACGTGGCTTCCTTGAGTGCCTAAATTGCTCAGTTTCAACATCTCTGGTCCACCTCTTAGTCATTTTCATCTGTCTCTACTCTCACCTCTCTTCATTTAGGTTTGCTTAGGTCCGCTTCAGGTATTCAATCCTCTATTTGGCTTTTTGATTCTGGGGCCTCTCATCGTATGACTCCTTACATTTCCTTACTCCAAAATTGTATCCCCTCTCCCTTTCCTATTACTATTATTTCTGCTAATGGGTCTAGTATGTTTGTCCTATCTATTAGGTCTGTTTTACCCTCTGCCATGTCTGTTGTTACTATTCCCCTGTTCTTTACGTTCTTCAACTGTCTGTCAGCTTGTTTTCTATCAGTCAGCTTGATGCTTCTGGTTTTGATGTTATCGTTTCTTTTTTTGTCTATTGTGTGCAGGATCGGGTGTTCGAGAAGCAGATTGGGACCGGCCGTAGAGTTGGAGATTTCTATGTGGTGGAAAGCCTGCATCTTCCTCTGTCTACCTCCTCTGTTGCACTTTCATCTTTTCAGTTAGATTCTTAGTCGAGTCAGTTTTATTTATGGCATTCTCGCTTAAGTCATTTGTTTGTTGACTGCATGCGATCTTTAGCTCAGTCAGGATTGTTAGGTAAAGTTTCTCCTAGTCAAATTAATGAGTGTCGAGGATGTAAACTTGCTAAAATGACAGCTTTACTTTTTAATAACAATACTTCTATTTTTGCTTCCTCTTTTTCTCTTGTACATACTGATGTCTGGGGACCTTCTCCTGTTCTCACTAAAGGGGTTTATGTGTACTATGTGTCATTTGTTGATGATTGTACCCGCTATACCTGGGTTTATCTTATGGCTCATAAATTTGACTTCTACCGGATATATCGTACCTTTCAATCTACGATCACTACACAGTTTGGGGCTACAATTAAAATACTCCGGTCTGACTTGGGTGGGGAATACTTTAAAACTGAATTCTGTGAATATTTGGCCAAATTGGACACCATTCACCAAACCTTCTGCACTGATACCCCTGCCCAAAATGGTCGTGCTGAGTGTAAACATCATCATCTCCTTAAGACAGCTCGATCTCTCCTTTCTGCCTCTGTTTCGGTACCATTCTGGGGTGAGGCAATTCTTACTGCTGCTTTCCTCCTTAATCGCATGCCGACTCCCCTTATCTCTGGTCGATCCCTTTATGAGGCTTTGTATTCCCACACTCCTAATTATTCCCTCCTGTGTGTCTTTGGGTCTGCTTGTTTTGTCCTCATTTTCCATAAAGATAGGACCAAACTCAGTGCCCAGTCTGTCTTGTGTGTCTTTTTAGGTTACAGTCTTACTCAGAAAGGCTACCGCTGTTACGACCCTATCTCTCGTCGCCTTTATGTCTCCCGTCATGTTACCTTTCTCAAACGTATGTCTTACTTTTAGCTTCCCTCTCTCATTGCTCCCGTTCCCAAAGAGGATTTGGTTCACATTGACCCATTTCCTTCTGAGGTCCCGTCTGATGAGTATATCTCCACTGTTCCTCTTGAGGCCATTCCTATTTCTCTGTCTGCGTCATCTATGGCTTATTTTTCTCCTTCAGCTTCTTCTTCCCCTCCGTTGTTGGTCTATTCTCGTCGCAAGGTTCTCCTACCATCAGTTGTCTCTACTCCTGTTGCTGCTTCTTCTACTTCTGATGACTCTGATCCTGTTACACACCGATATCCTACTTGTGAGCGTCGTCCTCCAAACAGGTTGGGTTGGTCTAATACATGTTTTTCTGCTTCCTATCGTACTTTTTTGTCTGTTGTTCATTCTTTTTCAGAACCTCAGTCTTACACGGAGGCCTGTCAGGATCTTAATTGTGTTCAAGCTATGGAGGATGAGTTGTTTGCCTTGCAGAAGACTAACACTTGGGAGTTGGTTCCTTTGCCTGCTGGCAAGAATTTGGTTGGTTGCAAATAGGTCTATAAAGTTAAGACTCATTCTGCTGGTTCTCTCAAGTGATACAAAGCTTGCTTGGTTGCCTAGGATTTCTCGTAGGAGTATGGTATTGATTATGAGGAAACATTTGCCCCTGTTGCTAGGATAACTATTGTCCATACCTTGATTTCTGTTGCTGTTGTTCGACATTGGCCTCTCTATTAGATGGACATTAAGAATGTTTTTCTTAATGATCATCTCACTGAGGAGGTCAACATGCGTCCTGCTCGTGGTCTTTTCCACTCCTCTGGGCAGGTTTGTCATTTTCGGCATGCTTTGTATGGTTTGAAGCAATATCTTCGTGCTTGGTTTTATCGCTTTCAGGCTGCTGTTACTGAGCTTGGGTTTCATCCTTCTGCTTCCGACTCTGCTTTGTTTCTGAGACATACCTCGGTTGGTTTTGTTGCTCTCCTACGCTATGTGGATGATATGATCATCACTGGCTCTGACTCTTCTGCTATCTCTGAGGTTAAGCAACATATCTTCTGCACTTTTGAAATAAAGGATCTGAGTCCATTGTGGTATTTTCTTGGTATTGAGGTTGTCTCTTCTCCAAAGGGTTATTTTTTGTCTCAGGTCAAGTATGCTAATGAAGTTATTCACCGTGCCAGTCTTACTGATACTAAGGTTTCTGATACTCCTATTGAGCTTACTGTGAAGCTCAACTCTACTGATGGTGTCCCTTTGGATGATCCCACTTTCTATCGCGAGCTTGTGGGTTGTTTAGTTTATTTGACTGTCACTCGCTCTGATCTTGCTTATGCTGTTCATGTGGTTAGTCAGTTCGTTTCTGCTCCTCGCTCTACGTATTGGGCTGCTTTGGTTCGCATTCTTCGCTATCTTCGAAGTACCATCTTTTAGGGTTTACTGTTATCCTCTACTTTCTCTTTATACTTGGTGGCCTATGCTGATTTTGATTGGGCTGGTGATGTTAATGATCGCAAATCTACCTCTAGTTTGTATATGTTTCTTAGCGATTTCTTGATCTCTTAGAAAAGTAAGAAACAAACTGTTGTTGCTCGCTCTACTGTCGAAGTTGAGTACTATGCTATGGCTCATGCTATTGCTGAGCTTATTTGGCTTCGTTGTTTTCTCTCTGATTTGGGTGTCCCTCAGTCTTCTCTGACCTCTCTCTATTGTGACAACCGCAGTGCTATTCATATTGCCCACAATACTGTCTTATATGAACGGACGAAACACATTGAGATTGATTGCCACTTTATCTGACAACATCTGCAGTCGGGCTTTATCTCGCTTCCTTTCGTATCCTCAACTTTGCAACTTACGGACTTCTTCACCAAGATTCACACTACCTCTTGGTTTTAGTTTCTTCTTAGCAAACTCTCAGTGTTTTCTGCTAATACACCTTGAGTTTGAGCGGGGGTGTGAGAATATATTGTATATATGGCATGATTGTGTAGTGTATATAGGAATCATTGTATTTCCTTTTTCAGTTATAGATTTAGGGCTATATAAACGGATGAACTCTTTGTGAACATATACAATTGAATATACAGAAAACCATTTGGAAATCTTAAAACTCAATCTAGCCAACTGCTCCAGTGCTTTCTATCTAGTAGTCTCACCTAGGTGGAACGAATAGAGTCACACCATTAAAAGAAAACAAAAATCTTTAGAGAATTATCGATACTCAACTTGTCTATTGTCACTTGCAAAGACTGCATGTATTTATATTAGCTTTCCTACTAGGAAAAAGGATTTCTAAAATAACAGGTTTGACTAATTCCAGGACGTATAGGATTTAACAAACTCATAAACAAACAACCTAAGAACCTAGACACCAACAATTATCAAATTAGCAAAATACCCTTAACTTGTAGACTTACCAAAATACCCCTGTTTTTTTTTTAATTTTTTAATTTTTTTTAATAACAGTGTTTTCACTTTGTAACACCCCTTTTTACATTCCTTGTCTCAGGGTTATACAGATCCACCAGGATTCTCTTGTCCATGGGTTCCAATTGTGCCGGCTGTTTGCATCTTCTTCAATATTTTCCTGTTTGCTCAGGTTTGCCCCATTAAGCACCGTTTTGTAATTGAACTCTGGAGAGTGATTGAAGCTTAATTTAGAAGGAAAGAACGAAAAAAAAAAGCTTTATGGTTAATGTACTAACTAGCAACTTTCTTTTTGCAGTTACACCACGAGGCGTGGGTGAGATTTATTGTCCTCAGCGTCATTTCAATTGGAATTTATGCATTTTATGGGCAATATCATGCTGATCCTGTAAGTTCAAATCGGACAATTATTTACCATAGGGCACCTGAAGAAGAAACTCAATAATTACCTGTTTAGGGGTATACGATTCTTGTTGTCTGTTGTATTAATTGTATTGAATTTACCTGAGCGGAGGTTTCCGTTCAACTGTATTATAAGACATGTGTATGTCAAACGCCATGCTAGACTGCCACACTCATGCATCTATTAAGAGATGTTCAATGATACAAATGTAAACTCTAATGTTTTACCTCGAAAACATTTTAAAGATCAGTTTTCAACAAGCTGCAATCATCTTTAGAAATTTGAGATATCCTGTTTCAGTTTGATGTCCAAATTTTCTTGTTGTGATTCAGTTTTTGTTCTGTATTGACTATCTATTGAAGCTGCCAGAGTTGACTTGGCATGTCGATGTAGTGAGTAGCATATGATGCTGATGATTGTTGGTTCAGTCTTGCCTCATGGCCTGCAAATAAAACTGTTTGTTTGATTTTCATGGAGATCTGGAAATGCACTCTTATGAGCGCACCATAAAACCTCAGTGTGTTTTTTTCCTTGTATTTCTTTTTTGATAGGGTTCTGAAGGCCGAGTATGACTTGGTCAAGACTGTTGGACAAGCAAAACATGTATGGTATGCATGTTTGGTCTTTGGATGGCACCAGAGCATTGCAATATGTCATGGGTATTCATTTGCCCCTCTTTCTCCATCCCATTGTTTCTTCGCTTATGTCGTTTAACATAATTTCCTTCTGTTAGTTAGAAGTTAGTGATTGGACCATTTAAACGCAAATTGAAAGCTGTAGGGACCAGAGTGACAAAATTAGAACTTTGGGGATCAGCATGAAAAAAATGGTTAAAAGTCTAGTGATATAAGCATCATATGACTAGAAGCATATCTCGTATATTTGGAATAATTAGAGAATGCTTATAGTAAAGAAAGTGAGGAGTAATGAATTTTAGGTTTATGACTTGTGTTTCCACTAATCATATAATGAGAATACTAAATCAATTTTGTTAGATTGAAAATATAAGCATGACACAATAAAATTATTGATAGTCATTTATTTTTATTTTTTTGACAATAATATACAAATTATATTTACTTTTGGATTATATTTAAAATCATGGGACTAAGATATTTTAAAAATATTACATAGTAAAGTAAAAATTTTAAGAATCTAAGAATACAAAATGAGAGATGAATAAAAAAACATCAGAACTTTCAATGAAAATTTTGTTAAAAGTAGCATTGCTTTAAGAAAGTGACGGAAAAAATTGCTTTGAGGTAGTGTAATAGTTCTTTTCATGTAACCGTATTAGGGTGGTGGTTTTGCATTCATATGGACAAAGCAATTTGAATGGATGGACCCCTAAATCAATGAGAGGCTTTTTGATTGATGATATATATATATATATTGTCCCAAAGTAATTTATCTTTTTATGTAACCATATTAGGATGGTGGTTTTGCATTCATATGAACAAAGCAATTTGAATGGATGAACCCCTAAATCAATGAGGCTTTTTGATTGATGATCTATATATATATATATATGTATTGTCCCAAAGTAATTTATCAAAAATAAAAAATAAAAAAATTGTATACTGACCCAAAGTATATGCACAAAATCTATTTTTCAAATTCCTATGTTTTTAAGTCGGCCTTATTATTTTTGCAAATTTCCTTATTTAGGTGTAGCTCAAATTTCCTTATTAATATAACTTTCTTCTTCTTCTCTCCTTTTTTTTTCCTTTTTTTTTTCTTTTTTTTCTTTTTATATATATTTATTTATTTATTTTTGTGGCAGATATATGGACTAACAAGGCTCTTTTATCCGAGTCAAGCATAACAACAAAAGAACACAGGAAAAAGGTCAAAAAACGGCCAACAATCTAATCCCAGTGTTCTGTTTGTACTAGGTTAAAATGTAATTTAATCTAGTTTTTTATGTTTTAACTCATATTCGGCTAATACTTAGAATTCTGCCTCCCCTTTCCCAACTTATTAGTTTTTAGTTACTTCACATACTCTTTAAGATTTTAGCTAAACAGAATGATCTTCCATCCTTACTTCGCTTTCCAAAATTACCAAATCCAAGCTTTACCATTCTTATATATATATATATATGTTTTGTTTATCTTCTAATGGTGGAGGGGATTAGCTATTTTGGTTAATTAAATTCTTCCTGGTGCAAACCTAATATATTTCAAGTGATGCCCAGTATCCAACCCATTGTGCATTTTAACATTTGCAAATATCATAGCATTATACATTGGAACACATTCTCATCACTTAACTGCACACCACATCAGAGTAAAAACCAATAGTCCGCCTTTGACAGTCCTGAATACTTAGCAATTCCACGTCAAAAACTTCAAATTGCTTTGCGCTGAAAAAGGTGGAAGGTCCGACCTGTAGAACATATAGGCATTTCTTTTATCATGTTGTGTTTCAAATGTTTATGCATTATATCTAGTAAAAAGAAAAAAGTACACATTCTTGCATTCTATCTCACTACTCGCGAAGGGTGGAAAGATTTTAATTGATTAGGGCGTGCCGTAGTGTTGTGTTTGCGATTAGCAAGAAACAGTGTAACAGAATTTGTGCCAGACTGAGAAACATCCAATTCGTAATCTATAGGATTACTACTTGTATCATAAACAGCTGAGAAACATAACCATCGGATTTGATTCGTTCTCATTAGGCATGAGATGGATTGAAACCTTGACTAGACTTTCGCTTTAGTCCCCACATGATTCCTATATAGGTTTCATCTGAAGAAGATAATATATTCTCTTGATTTATCTTTTTGAGGATTGAAATACGTGTTATGTATCTAGTCTTCTCCTAAGGGTATGAGAAAGGGGAGCAGCTAAGTGGTAAGGGCGAGTTGATGTAAAGAATGCTTTCTTATATGGTGAACTAAAAGGTATATATGGACATTTCTCCTGATTTTGAGGATCATCAGACGGAGGACAAAGTATGTAAGTTTCGGAGGTCGTTCTATGGTCTCAAATAGTCTCCAAGGGCTTGGTTTGAGAGATTCATTCAGGCTATGCTTAAATATGGTTTCAAACAGAGTTAGGTAGATCACACTTTGTTTGTGAAACATTTCTCATGTGGTAAGATTACAACTCTCATTGTTTATATGAATGACATAGTGCTTACAAGCAATGATAGTGAGGAAATACCTCTGTTGAAGAAATATTTAGCTCGTGAGTCAAAGTTGAAATATTTTCTGGGAATCAAAGTTGCTCGCTCTAAGGATGAGATTTTCATCTCACAAAGGAAATATGTTCTTGATCTTTTGAAAGAAACATGGATGCTTGGATGTAAGGCTTGTGATACCTCCCTAGAACCTAATCAGAAACTTGGTAATGATGAAGGAGGAGCAGCTGTTGATAAGGGGAGTTATCAACGACTAGTGGGTAAGCTCATTTACTTATCTCACTCTCATCTTGATATTGTTATTGTTGTCAATATGGTTTGCCAGTTTATGTATGCTCCTCATCAAATTTATTTAGAGGCTGTTATGAGAATTCTGAGGTACTTGAAATCTTCTTCTGGAAAGGGCCTTTATTTTTCCAAACATGATCACGTAAGAGTGGAAGCTTACACAGATGCTGATTGGGCAGGGTCAATAACTGATAGGAAATCTACATCAGGATATTGTACCTTTGTGGGTGGCAATCTTGTTACTTGGAGGAGTAAGAAACAAAATGTGGTGTGGCTAGATTAAGTGCAAAAGTTGAGTTTAGAGCTATGGCACAAGGTGTGTATGAATTCTTGAGGATCAGATTGTTGTTGAGTGATCTGGGGATGGGCCAGACAGGCTTTATGCGGCTATATTTTGATAATAAGACTACCATCAACATAACTCACAATCCTGTTCAACATGACAGGGATAAAATATGTTGAGATTGATCGCCACTTCATCAAGGAGAAACTCACCAGTAGCATGATATGTATTTCTTTTAAGAAGTTAGGCGAACAACTTGCAGACATCCTCACCAAGGGAGTTGGGAGTAAACCATTTCATGACATTCTAAACAAGCTGGGCATGCGAGACATTTTTGCACTAACTTGAGGGGGAGTGTTAAAATATTTCCTTATTTTCTTGTTAAAATATTTCCTTATTTAGATTATATTGTGATTCCATAATCAGTCACTCAATCAATCAATATAAAATGTGATTCCTTAATTAGTGCCTTAGGGCTTCCTTTTGTAACAGTTGATTGATTGATATAAAAGGTGATGATATCATAACCATCACCCAAGTTTTGTATTCTCTTAAATTACAGAGTGAACCTGTAACAATTGCCAAGTGTTACAAATAAGAATTCATGAAGCTCTTACAAACCCTAAACCTCGCCAGAGGCAAGGTTTGAACCCCCAACCTCACATTTGAGAGTGTTGGGGTTGTGCCATTGGACTATACAAGCCCTTGGATTATCTTGATTTATTAAACCAGTGGATGGAACAACACTGTTGTGGAATGCAATAGTAAAGTGAAAATTTCTAGAAATTATGTGAAAGCCTAGTTAAAACAAGCAGTAAGACATCCTAACACTGCCTAGTTAACAATAACAAATTAGGAAGCAAAAAAAATAAAGTATGAACAAGGTTAAAAGGCAAAAATAAGTAAAAAAGTACATGGCACTCACAGGCGGTCCAAGTTCTGGAGGAATAATTATTCTCCTTTTCCCTCCGGGCCTCATGTCTTGAATTCCTTCTTCAAATCCTGCATAAATTATCTTCATTTTTAGCTACTTCTCTTTGTATTCATAATTGAATTGCACAACATGACAAATATTAATTGCTAGAACATATTACGGTCACCTGGAACAAGTGCTTTAGTCCCCATTCGAATTTTGGCAGGAGTGCCCTGTAAGTAGGTGCTGTCAATACGACGGCCTGATTCATTATAACCAACATAGTGAAAAGTCACCTGCCAAGACACTTCAATTCAGTAACGCAGCTAATGATTCATTAGTAAATCAGTATTCTTGTGTTCTATTTTTTTAAATTTTTTTTAGTGGTCTAGCTTTCATTCACATGTCACAAGCATTTTATTGAAGACTTAAAGTAATTTCACTCCAAGAGCACCAGTTTACTGGAAAAATTCATTATGGACATCAGTGAAAAGATTGCTAGGTCAAAATTGCATCATTACTGTTTAGAGGCCATTTCTGAGAAAGGACGGGTTAATGCCATTGACCTGAACCCTTGACAAATAGACTTTAGTAGGATTTGTGTGCTTTAATAGCATTTTCGGATGTATCCATTTGATTAGAAAGAATTGATGAAGATCATGGAAGAAGAAAAAGGACAAATTTGGAATTTCATATAAAGCATGTTTGGGCCATCAATGATTGAAATTTTGAAATAATTTTGAGCCTTATTTGTATTTATGATAATGCATTACATTGCTAGACAGGTTTATATTATAATATTATGTTTTAGCCTATAAATATATGTGTAATTTTAATGATTCAAAAAGAGTTAATATTAATTTATGAAAATTAAAGATTATGTTTTTGTGTGATTGGTCTAACCCTTGTGAGGGTGAAGCACCTATTTCTCTCTCTCCTTCTTCTCCTTCTCTTTGCACACATACCCTAATTACTATTCAACGCCCTCTAAAAGTGCACTTTTCAGCCCCAATAATCACATCCCATCACCCCCAAATTAACCCTAATCCCCTTCTCCAACTTCTTAGCCTTCAATTTACCATTCAAACCCTAAATTACTCACTATTTTGGCTCTTAAATGACCTCTATTCTGAAAATTCAGCAAGCTGTCCTACATCAAGAATATATGGTGATACTTGGCTGAAATAACAGAAATATGATGGTTGTTTACAGATAGAAATAAATTGGATAGAGAACAAAGATGTTGAAAAGGATTTCAGTACTGACATGACATTGTAGATAAGTGGACACATGTTTGGAGACTATACCAATGAATATGAGGAAGCATATTTCAAAAGAGAAACCCTCTAAGAGCATATTTCAGCTGGGAAATGCATGCAGGCAAGTTGGCAGTCAGAATATGAGGAAGTATTTCCTTTTGCACTGTTTTCCACATACGATAGTGTGAAAAATAGGCATTATGATATACAACAATACTTGAGCTTTGCAAAGCTATCATTCCCATATGCCTTTTGCTTTCCTTTCACACTGTTTTCCACATACAGCAATGTGAAAAATAGGCATTATGATATACAACAATACTTGAGCTTTGCAAAGCTATCATTCTCATATGCCATTTGCAGATGATACTATGATATTTTGTGGAGCTATTGAGGTGGATTTGAGATTTCTGAGCTGTGGTTTACTCTACTTTGAGGCAGTCTCCAGATCACAGGTTAACTTGGCGATGAACGAGCTCATCTCAGTGGGCCATGCGGAGAATGTAGAAATTTTGGCTCTGTATTTGGAGTGTTGGGTTGAGGCTTTTTACCTTCATCTTATTTGGGTCTTCTGCTTGGAGCTTCTTTAAAGCTACAACAGTTTAGGTCCGGTGGTTGAGAGATTCGAGAGGAGGTTGACCACATGGAAAAAAGGAATAATTGTCTAATGGTGGGGTGACTCTTATTAAGAGCACATTGTCTAGCCTTCCTAATTCAATTCCTTGTTTACTATCCCATTTAGGTGGTTTATAGATTGGAAAAATTGATGAGGGATTTCTTTTGGGGAGGTTTGGGGAATGAGTTTTAAGAATCACCTCACAGATTGGAAGGTTTTGCATATGCCCAAGGAAGGGGTGTGTTGGGCATAAAAGATGTGTCTGTTTAACAAGGCCTTGCTACGGAAGTGGCTGTTAGATTCTCTACTAAAAATGAGAGTTTATGGACCGTGGTGGTTAAGTATGGGTGTTATAGGGGGGAGTGGTGCAAGGGGGGTCTATTAAAGGGCCCTATGGGGCTGGGTGTGGAAAAGAATCGTGATGGTCTAGAATGAGTGGATGACTTCTTAAAAGTCTAGAATGAGTGGATGACTTCTTAAAAAGACCACACTTATTATTATTATTATTTTCAAACAATATATAGATAGACACAGACAAACAAAATGGTTTAGTGATAGCAGCTGAATAGAATAGCATAGGTCTTATAGTTTCAACAAATCAATAACATGTTCTTCATCTTCTCTCTTCTCTCTTTCTCTTTATCTCTTGCCCCTCTATTTTCTCTCTTTATCTTCCCTCTTCTCTCTATCCCTCTTCCCCCATTTTCAGCTTTTTTTTTTGTGTGTTTTTTTGAAAGAAACAGTTTGGAACCGTTACGTAACGGTGCGTAACAGGCCGTTACGGCACCGTTACGACCGCTATGGCAGCCGCTACGGCCGACACACCAGTGAATCTCAATCACATTGCAAAAGCGGTCGTAACGGGTGGTGGTAACCGCCAAAACCGTTACGTAACGGCGTTACGTAACGGTTGCAGCCGCTTTTTAAAACCTTGGGAATGAGTTTTAAGAATCACCTCATAGAATGGAAGGTTTTGCATATGCCCAAGGAAGGGGTGTGTTGGGCATAAAAGATGTGTCTGTTTAACAAGACCTTGCTACGGAAGTGGCTGTTAGATTCTCTACTAAAAATGAGAGTTTATGGACCGTGGTGGTTAAGTATGGGTGTTATAGGGGGGAGTGGTGCAAGGGGGGTCTATTAAAGGGCCCTATGGGGCTGGGTGTGGAAAAGAATCGTGATGGTCTAGAATGAGTGGATGACTTCTTAAAAGTCTAGAATGAGTGGATGACTTCTTAAAGTATAAGATCACCTCTATTAAGATAAGTAATGGGCAGAGAGTGCGGTTTTGACAACACTTTTGGTGTGGGCATAGACTGCTAAGGGAAGCATTTCCAGACCTCTTTAGCATTGCAGTGGACAAGGGTGCTCTTATTGTGGATTGCTAGACTTTAGATTTAGAAGGTGTCGTTATAGATTCTGTTGTTTAGGAGATTGTTACATGATTGGGCGATTGGCTCAGTGACTATGAAGTATGGATACTTCGAAAAATATGCCGTACCCGGGTACTTAACGGTGTATGGTACTTCTACATATGTACTAGGTATACGAAACACGTATCCAAATTTTTTTTTCTTAATTTTTGGCGTATTTAGACGTACCTAGTATATACCCAAACCGTATCGTATATACTCAAGCCGTATCGTACCTTAATTGAAACAATATTTTTTTTTACTATAGAGATAAAACTCTTTTCACTAGATATCTTTTTTGTTTTTAGTTTTATGCTTTAGTACGATTTTAAAATTAAACTATGGTTTATAAGTTATTTAATATATTGACATTTAATTTTGATATATACCTTTACTTTTGGCATTAAATGTTAATTATAGGTTGGATCCTAACAAATTAAACCATTTAATTAATTTTTACATTATTCTAAATTAAAAACAAATGTTTTTTTTACAAGCGTACCAAGCCGTATCGTACCCTAATTTTTTTGAATTTTACCGTATCGACGTACCCGTATCGTACTAGTACTCATACCAGTACCCGTGCTTCATAGCTTAGTGGTGACTGGTGGAGTTGATTCGCTTGCTCTAGAGACTCTATCATGTTACAGGTTGATTTATTTGGCTCATGCCTTGCTATTGACGCTTCATTGGGTGAGGAGATCACAACTTTCCTTGAGAGGGGTACAACATCCAAAAACTCCTAAAGTAGCTTTCTTTGCTTGGATAACTACCAAGGAATTGGGAAATTATTCTTACTATTGATAACTTGAAAAGATTTCCGCTGAGAGAGAGAGAGATTCTTGGACTAGTGAGCAGGAGAGTTGGTCACTTAAAAACAAAAAACAACACTTTGTTACCACTTCTTTTTATTTTATTTTTTGATATTTTTCTTTAAAAGGCATCAAAAAGCTTCCATGTTCAGAATATTGCAACACAACGAATACAAAAATTTAATCCCAATGCTACTGGTTGTAGGATTTTGAGCAGTGTGTGGACATCCTCCTATTGGTCCAAAGGCCATGACTGGTAGCAGAACGTGCCCCCTTCCCCAACCAGCTAGTTACTAGGTAGAACTGCAACCTAACAAAGAAGGTATGTGGTAAGTTTCGGGAGAGGAAATAGGCAGGCAACTTTTTTCGTGGACCTGAGCAATAGCGCTAGGAGCGGATAGTATTTACAATCACTCTGGTCGCACCTCTGATCCTCATATTCATCTCCCAAATGTTTAAAGGCCACTTAAACATCAATATCCATGCTAGAGTTCAGAAAGGAAAACCATTGCACTCAAAGATTAAAAATAAATAAATAAATAAACAAAAGAAAAACCTGTTGACCATCCTTTGGGCAATCACCTTTACCAACTTCAAAATCCCGGTATATAAGCCCCGAGTCACTCTTTACATAATTTTCTGTTGTCACTACATTGACCTGAAAACCTGATTTAGATCCCCAAATATTGTCAAATTACACACAACGTAGAATGTTTATAACAAAAAATATGTTGATTGCAATCAAAGGCGAAACAAACCTTCTCTAACAAAATTTGGGAAGTCTTCGGGAGCATTGTTTTCTCTCTGTACCCTCTTGTTCTGTTCTAGTAAGCGTTTTTCATCATATGGGTTTTTATTTTTTGTCTTTCCAGAAGAAGGCAAAGTCGGAAAAAATCCTAACGACGCCAAAAGGAATAGAAATGTCCGCCTCAAGTTCTTGTTATAATGCAGAACATCTGCATTCTGGACTCTAGCCATACATAAAATGGTTGTTATAAGAAACTAAAAACAATTTAGAAATGTAAAACATAATCCGGGAAATAAAAAATGATTGGAATGCAAATTAATAATCAGTCCTACCCATCATCTTTTATGTTGCACCTTGAGAAAGAACATGTGACGAGCTTCTTTTGAAGAAAAAGCAATCCAAATGTGGGAGAAGCTGAGAGTATTCTGTGGCTTCTGTCTGCATGAAGTGTAACTAGAAACATGAATACAATAAAAGTTATTTGATTCGTGTTTGAAACCTTATTTGTCGTCATGAGGTGTACGTAGAAGAAACGTTATTTGCTTCATGTTTTATTTAGTTTATGATAAGACAGAGGAACAGAGAACGTGAAGAGTATTATCAGAGGAGAACACGGGAAACACAACAATGGAAAATTACTTTAAAGATGACCAAAAATTCTAATGAACTATTTCAAAATTTGTCTTATATATAAGTATTGCTTATAAAGGTTTAAGCAGCTAAAATCTATAAAAAATCTCTCAATTCACTTTCAGAAGAGCAAACCATCTTTCCGCATATAGGGATAAGGCTACATGCATTTGACTCTCTCATACCCTTCAATGAAAGGAGTCTCATGCATTGGGACTTTCCTTTGAAGCATATGATGAGACTCGGTAAATGAGAATATGGCATGCTTACAACAACCACTCCAACCCACATAATTGTAACAATCCATTTATTTCTTCATTTCATCCTACCTTCTAAGCTAACAAATAGAGTAAGCATTGAAAGTGCAAATATACCAAGCTCCAAAGATTTATTCTATATCAAGGTAAATTATCTTCATGCGGAATCTATAAATAAAGTGCAACGACATAATACTAGTTCGCCATTATTGGTAAGTACACCACAATAAATTATTTGTCTTATAAATAAGTAGTATTGCTTTAAAACGTTTTAAATAGCTAAAATCCATTACAAAAAAAGAAAAAAAAAACTCATTTAGGTTCAGAAGAGGGAAGCATATGATGAGACTCGCTAAACGAGAGGATGTCATGCTTACAACAATCAGTCCAACCAAGATAATTGTAACAATCCATCTATTTCTTCTTTTCATCCTACCCTCTAAGCTAATAAATAAAACAATACTAAAATAGCAAAATGGTGAGGTCCAAGGATTTAGTCTATATCAAGATAAATAATTTTTACATGGAATCTACCAAGACTGTGTTTGGATCATGAATTTAAGTAGGGATTTAAAAAAAGAAAAAAATAAATAAAAGATGGGTGAAATGTGAGAGCAATGGACATGAGAATGCCGTAATAAGAATTTTTAGGTTGCATATGGATTTACAGATTTTGAAATGAAAGGATTTGAGCACTAATAGTTCAAGAAGAATAACTCAAATTTAGATATTATGGTTTAGATATGGATTTTATAATTGAATCTTAGATCTTCACAGTTGGGGATTCAAAATAACTAAATAAAAGTTTCTAAAATCCTTCATGCCAGGAATTATAGTTGTACAAAACAAAGACCATAACAAAATAGTTCTCATTTATCTTGCTCTTTAGTTTCTCAATCTAATCTACCATAACAAAATAATTCTCTTATGTCTCTAATTTATCTTGCCCTTTAGTTTCTTAATCTATCTATAGTAGCTTTCCTATATATATTTTTTTTATAAAGTTCAATGGAACCTTAATGTGTATTATGTATATCAGAGCTTCATACATGTACTTCCTAGGAAAAAGGATTAGTGTAGTAGCTACAAGACTTGCAAATTTTAAGTGTTAAAAGCTACAAACTAATACTTTGTTTGTTTGGCTCTAGGATTTGTTGAGGAAAAAGGAAAAAGAAAAGAAAGGAAAATGGAGGAGACAATTTGGGGTGTGGTTGGGCTAAGAAAATGATGGAAATTTCTCAAAAATGCATTAACCATATACAGGATTTTCATTTTTCCCCCTCAAGAAATCTTAGATACAAACATAGCACAAAAGCTAACAACCAATTTCGACTTTTAACTCATGAGAGAGAGAGAGAGAGAGAGAGAGAGAGAGAACAGATAAGATAACATGCCACAAAAGGAGCAAAACCCTTGATATTGTGAATGCACATATCACACATGCAAAATATGTATTAAAAACCCACAAAATCTCCAAAAACTTATCAAGTTTAAATACTATATTTTTACAACCTAGAACAAGCTTTGACTTTGGAAATTTGAGAATTGTAGATTTAGACCTCTATCACACATATTCATTCACGTGCCGAATCTTTCTTACCCTTTTTTTTCTTCTGGAAACTCATACAATTTTCCCCAGAACCAAACATCACAACACCCGGTACAGAGAATTGACGATTTCTAGAAACCCAATTACAATTTCAATGCCTAAAACTTGAACAACTTGTGCGTGTGTTAGAGAGAGAGAGAGAGACAGAGAGAGAGACAGAGAGAGAGAGAAGTTACATGTAGAAAATGGAGTGGGGAGAGTTGAGGAGAGAATCAACATGAAGATGGCTTTGTGGGTTTCTTCTTCTTCTTTAGCCAAACGATAAAAATAGCCGTTCCTTGAAAAGTCTCTCTCTCTCAACCTTTTATCATCTACGGTTTGGCAGTGTACCTTCTTGGCGAAGGATAAAATTTGATTTTTTAAATTAAAATTTACAAAAAAAATAAATAATTTAAAATAGATTAAAATAATCAATAAAATAAAATGTCACATTAAATCTATAATTATTTTACTTTTGTCAATAAAATAAAATATCACATTAAAATCTATAATTATTTTATTCTTTTTTTTCACAAATATCACATTCAATTACAAAAAAATCCAACCATCTTTTCAAACATAAAAATTTTAGTATACTAAAATAGCTAAAAATTAAAATAACCCACAAAAATAGTCAACTTTCTAAACAAGGCTCGTGTATAAAACATAAACTAATTACGTTGGGTAAATTACACTGACACCCTACGAGCGTTCTCTTTAATACAGATTCTCTTTTCACATTTAAAAATTTATATATGTATATATATATTTTTGAGATTTGTAATCCCGTTACAAATTATTTCTTGAATTTCTGATGTTATGTCTTAAATTTTTTAAATGACCGCATTATCTTTTTTCTTACAATTTTTTCTTCATATCATCATGATTACATTTTATAACTTTTTATCATTAAATTCTATTTGAACATATTCTTATTGAGTGATGATATACAAACATAAATTTTATGTATAATTTTCAAACACAATGGTACGACTTAATGGTGAACTTTTACTTTAAAACAAAACACACATAAACATGATAAATATTTACAACAATATCACTATCACAACATTTTTTGTATAAATTTTTATATATGAGTATAATTTTTCGTTTTTATTTCTACCATTATATTTAGATTAGATCAATTTAATATATATATATACTAGCGTATGTCCGTGCCTAAAGGCACGGTGTAAATAATTTTAAGATTAAAATGTAGTTATAATTTATACGTATTATGTTGAGATTTATAAAGTTTGTGTCATTTTTTGTTAAAGATACTAAAAAAATATATTGAAATATTTTTCTTCTTAAAGAACTTATAACAGTTTTGCTTGTATTACACGCTCTACAAAACTCAAATAAAATAACAACTCTCCCTAATCTTAATGCAAATTAAGAAACTCACATATAAGATTTAAAGTTATATTGCATATCAAAATATAAAAGGCAGCAAAAAAAAGTGTAAACACTGAATAAAAAACAGAAATAAAGTTATACTGTCATACACCAAAAAGGTAGGTTAAAACTTTACAAAAAGTGGGTTAAAGCTTTACAAAAGATGTATGCTTTACAAAAGATGTGTCACTAACATGTCATACACCAAAAATTATATTGTCATACACCAAAAATATGTATGCTTTACAAAAGATGTGTCACTAACATGTCATACACCAAAAATTATATTGTCATACACCAAAAATATGTATGCTTTACAAAAGATGTGTCACTAACATGTCATACACAAAAAATTATATTGTCATACACCAAAAATATGAATGTTTTACAAAAGATGTGTCAATAACATGTCTTCAAATATGCGTTTGCCCAAACTTCCTCCTCATTACTTTCCAAAAAGTCTTTGTATCAACTTTTATTAGCCATCCCATTATTGTCATTGCATACAAAAGTCCCTAAAGACAAGGTGGATTGGCATATATTATGAGGGAACTATGTTCATTTAAGAGAGTATAGTTAGTCAACATTTGTTTCTTCTCACGGTATATATGCAAAAACGAGATTTTAAATTTCTTTTAAGGATAGACGAGCAATCAAACAGAATGGGTTGGATCCGTGATGAAATACTATGTGAGATCAAAGTTTTGGTAGCCATTTGTTCCCTCAAGCAACTCGTCAATGTGGTGATTCATGGGTAATAATAATGGGTGTTTAAGAAATGTTAGTGTAGTTTCTCTCACTGAAACCAAGAAAAAAAAATAGTGGGTAGGAGAAACACAATTACAAGAGACAGATTTTATTTATGATTTTACCATACAAATATTTTGTTTATTATGATCTTAAATTTTTTTTAATGCCTGTATCTGTTTGGTAGTGTAGCAAGTGTCATAAATTTTTTACACAGTAATTTCTCCATAATTTTGTGTAGTTATGAATACTACTCACTTCTACAGTATTTTTATTTTTATTTTATGAGATATCATATGTTCATTCAAACATTTAGAAACATTATGTTTGCTTTTTCTATGTATTGACCATTGACAACCCCAAGTTTCAACATCTTTGATTTGCCACTACTAACATTTGTGATAACTTGAAGAGGAAATTATGTGTTGAATTTTTTTTGTCATTTTTCTTTTTGGAATTTGTGTCAAAAGAGCATGTCTTATACACCACTATACCCGGTATGTATTACTATTGTCTCCATGTCATTTAGTAATCTATTTGACGACAATAAGGAAATTTCTTAATGTGCTGAATCAGGATGTGTTGATTGCAATTGAATGGAAAATATATTCTTATGGGAAAGGTTTTTAAAACCGCGGATCGTCTTTGCGGTGTCCTCGGATGAGATGTTTGGTGGAGAGATATCTGTTTCCATTAGGGCTGGGCGTAGGGTTATCCGAACCGCACGCATGTAGGCGGTTTCGCAAACACATTAGGATAGGGTGCGGTTTGAATTTTATATAAATTTCGGGTTGCGGGTGGGGTTGCGGGTTTGTCCCGCACCCGCCCAACCCGCCCGCATTAAATTAATTTTTTTTTTCTCCTCTTTCAAATCTAACCGTCCATCTCATGATCTCACCATCTCACTCACCTCATCTATAACAAACAAAAAAAAAAACCCTAATCGCTGTCCTCACTTTCTCAGTCAGTCTTATCTCTTCTCATCACTATCTCTCTCACTCTCTCGTTTCGTTGTTCATACATCTTCATCTTCTGCACCGATTGGCGATCACTCTCATCTTATCACTGTCTCTCTCACTCTCTCGTTGTTCATCTCATCACACCGATCGTCTCACTCTCTCATTGCACCGATCTACTCACAGGTAAGCCTCTCTCTCTCTCTCTCTCAATCTCTGTCTGTCTCTCTCTTTCGCCCCGATCGTGGATTTTTTTTACAACATATATATATATATATATATAAGAGATCGTTGAATCTGTGTGTTTCTTTGGAAATTTGTGTGTTTGTTTGTTTTGGACCGATCTAATCTGTTTATTTGGAAATCATAATAAAATGGCCGGCTTCTCATCACTGAACAAGGAAAACAATGATCTCTGGAGATTTGAGAAAAATCTAATGAAATTTCCAGATCTAACCAGGTGGAAATTTGTGATGAGAAAAATTTATACCTCTAAAAGGGGATGTATTATACTGCAAAATAGATTTATCTCATCACAAATTTAACAAAATAAAATTGATTTAATCTATTTTGTTAAATTTTTGGTTAGATTAAATAAAGATCCTGTATTTTGGTTAACAGAAATTCTCTGGAGGTGAATCTAATCTGTTTTAACAGAAATTCTATTTCGACTAAAGATCCTGTATTTTGGTTATTTATCTCTGTTTCTTTGGAATTTATCTCTGGAGGTGAATCCAATCTGTTATTAATCTGAATCTGTTACTAAATCTAAATTTGAAATTGAATCTGTATGTTATTTAATTTTTGATTTAATTTGATTCAATTAGTTAACTTTTGGAATTAAATCTGTTGAATTAAATCTGTTATTAAATCTGTCTGTTATTTAAATCTATTGAATCTGTGTCTGTAAAATTGATTTTGTGACTGTATTTTTGTAATCTAGTTTAAATGGAGGATAATATTCAATCTCCCGCAATCAATCTTGTACCTCCGAAATCCTCTAATTCTTAAATGAATCCTCTCTTAGTCGAACCCGAACCTGAACTTGAGCCTAAGCCTTCTAGACTCCCAAAGAGAAAGAGTGAGAGTGGAGGGAGGAGAGCACCATCCATAGTTTGGGATCATTTTGACAAGGTTGTAGGAACCGATGGGAAGCGTAAAGCCGTATGTAAATATTGTAAGAAATAGTATATGGCTGACTCTAGAACTCATGGGACTAGTAATTTGAGGAGTCATACACCTAATTGTAAAGAATATCCAAATAGGGATACAAATCTTAAACCGAAACAAAATGAAGAGGGTGTTGAGGTTGTAGCAACAATTTTTAATTTTGATACTTGTAAAAGGGCTCTTGCGGAGATGGTGGTCATTGATGAGTTGCCATTTAGATTTGTGGAGGGTGTTGGGTTTAGAAGATTTTGTAATGTCATACAACCCAAATTCACACCAATTCCCTCTCGTCAAACCATATCTAGAGAAGTGCTAAATATATTCAAGAATGAAAGGGATAAGTTAAAGAAGGCCATGAAGGGTCATAAAAATTGCTTTACTACTGACACTTGGACATCTATTCAGAATTTGTGTTACATGTGTTTGACTACTCATTTCATTGATGATAACTGGAAACTTCAAAAAAGAATTATAAGTTTTCAACAAGTTGAGGATCACAAAGGAGAAACATTGGGTCGAAAAATTGAGTCGTGTTTGATTGAGTGGAACATTGATAACATATTCACCTTAACAGTTGATAATGCTAGTTCTAATAATCTTACCATTCAATATTTGAAAATGATAACCAAAGATTAGAAGGGGACTATTTTGCAACATGAGTTTATTCATATGTGTTGTTGTGCACATATTCTTAATCTCATTGTGAGTGATGGGTTGAAAGAAATGGATGATTCTATTGCTAACATTAGACTTGCGGTGAGATATGTGAGGTCTTCTCTTCATAGTCATGATGTTTTTAAGAAGTGTGCGGCCACACTCAAACTTGATTCAAAAGCTCTTGTATGCCTAGATGTACCAACTAGGTGGAACTCTACCTATTTGATGTTAGAGGCCACCGAAAAGTATGAGAAGACTTTTAACCGATTGAAGTTTGTGGATTCCAACTTTGAACCTTATTTCAAGGATGTTGATGGTGGCATAAGAAGAAGTCCGAATGAGTTGGATTGGAAAAAGTGTAGAATTTTTTTGAGGTTTATAAAATTATTTTATGTTGCAACTAAGAAATTTTCGGGGTCTCTCGTTGTTACTTCTAATGCCTTTTACAAAGAGATGTTTGTTATTAAAAGCAAAATTAACCAATTAATTTTGGAGGAGAATGATACTTTGAGCACAATGGCAAGGACTATGAAGCTGAAGTTTAGCAAATATTAAGGGGATGGAAGTAAAATCAATTTGTTGTTGTATGTTGCGGTGGTTCTTGATCCTATCAAAAAAATGACATACTTGGAGTTTTGTTTTTCCAATTTATTTCTTGGAGATAATAGGAAGGTGGAAGAAATGGTAGACAAGGTTAAGAGTTGCTTGAGTCGTTTGTATAGCCATTATGTCACACTTTATCCTTCAAATGAGAAACTTTCAAGTGTGAGTGAAGTTATGAATATGGTGGAAGATGATAATGATGATGATCCCTATTCTTTAGTTGACTCCCAATTTAATTCCTATTTGGAGGGGCGATGCACTAGTGGATCTAAGTCGGAATTGGAACAATATTTATCCGAGGTTGAACATTTTGCAAAGAATCAAACATTTGAGATTTTGGATTATTGGAAGGTGAATGCAACCAAATATAGGGTGTTATCATAATTTGCAAGGGATGTGTTGGCCATGCCTATTTCTACCGTTGCATCGGAGTCGGCTTTTAGTATGGGAGGGCGTATTCTTGACTCATTTTGTAGTTCACTCTCGCCTTCTATGGTTGAAGCTCTTGTATGTACTCAAAATTGGCTTCGAAGCAACCTTCCAATTTCTCTTCGAAAGGTGATGGATGATGTGAAAGAATTTGAGCAATACGACTCAGGTAAATGGGCATTTATTTATCTTTATTTTTATTTGTATTATTCATTTTCTAATGTAAGTTTTATTAATCTTCTCTTGTTGACTTCTAATTAGGTACTTTGGAGTCAAGCTCATCTTCAACTTCAACTTCAACTTCAACTTCAACTTCAACTTCAACCTATAATGTTGATGCTATAATTGATGTCTAATATCCATTTGCTCATTGGTAATTTTTGCATATACTCAACACATTTTCTTACTATATTGAGATGCAATATATAGACATTTGTTTATCTTTTCATTTCTTACTATAGTTGAAGATTAAAGTTTATATTTTTTCAATTTGTTTTTGTGTAGGGTTCATCAACCAAATGCATGGAATTAGAATTGGAATTGGAATTGGAATTGGAATTGGAATTTGTAAAAGTTGAATTGGATATGATTCATGAAGATGAAGTTTGATATCTTAGAAATGTTTTAATTTTATTTCATGGGTTTGTATTGAATGAAGTTTGACAACAATTTTTTTTTTAATTGCGTTTTGGTTTTGGATGAATGTAAGTTAATGAATTTTTATTTTTTTTACATTTTGGATGAATGTAAGTTAATGAAGAATTATTTATTTATTTATTTTTTTGGGTTAGGAATGATGAATGTTGAATTTTCAATGTAGGATTTTTTTATTTGGGTTATGTATGATGAATGTAGGATGAATGCAACTTAATGATAAAATATAGATTTTGAATGATTTATTTAGGTTACGAATTGAATTTGTTGTGTTTTTTATTTTATAAGTTTTAATTCATTAATTATTAATGTTGGAGCATTTTAGAAAATATGAGAAAAAATGTCCAAAATAAAGATTGACAAAATGGGAGAAAAAAAAGGTTTAAAAATAAATTTTTGAAAAAAAAGTTCAATCTGCAAACTGTCCGCACATTCGCGAACCCTATCCGCACAAACCGCAAATCGCATTGTAGGCGATTGCAGGTTGACTTTTTCCCAAACCACATATATGCGGGCGGGTCCAAACCGAACCGCAAACCGTCCCAAACCGAACCGCGGACACCCCTAGGTTTGAGTATGATGTTTGGATAGAGTTGTGAAATTAATTTTCCACAACTCTGCAGAGAACTCTGTCAAACAGACCGCGTTTTTCAATTTTTTTTCAAAATTTGGTCTAACCGGTCGTCCGACCGGTTGACCGGAATAGTGATTTTTTTTTTTTGCAATTGATATGTTAATATTTATATATTCGAAAAAAATATTTTCTGAATTTTTTAAAATTTTTTATGTGTTTTAAAATAATTTTGAGTTGTATGTTTAGTTATGAGTTATAAGTTTTTGTATCAAATATCAAATGTCACATAAAATTCTCCACTCAATTCAAAACTCTTTTCAAAACTATTTTCAAAACTCTCACCAAACAAATTTTCTACACTCAAATCATAATTCCAAACCTCACAAACTCATATTGCAACTCATACTCTCAAATTATAATTACAAAACTCTACCAAACGCAACCATATATTCTTTATATTCTTCTATAATTTAATTTTGGCAGTGTTTGGGAAGATGAATTTTTGGTTTTTTTTGGTTTTTTTTTCCCTAAAAGACAAATTAGTTACAAAACAAAAAAAAAAAACAAATCCAAACAAAATATTACATCAAACCTCATAATTATTTCACTTTTTCTTTCACAAACATCACATCCAACAAAAAAAACTAACTATCTTCCCAAACACAAAAAAAAATTTCTTCAATAATATCCTACAATTAAAAAAAATACAAAAAAACTCACTTCTCAAACACCCACTTTGAGTAGAGAAATTTTTTTTTTTTTGGTCAATGCTAGCAACTTGATAATAGATGGTGTTTGGGAAGTGAGTTTTTATGTAGATTTTAGTAGATGTAGGTTTTTATGAGATAAAAAAATTTTAGTGTTTGGGAAGATAGTTGGGTTTTTATGTGGTTGGATGTGATGTTTGTGAGAGAAAAAGTGAAATGATTATGGGGTTGGATGTGATATTTTGTTTAGATGTGTTTTTTTTGGTTTTGCAAAACTTCTGTCTTTTAGTGGAAAAAATGAGAAAAAAATTTGGGAACCAACTTCCCAAACACCACCATGTGAATGAGAGTTGTGGAAGCCTTGTTGTCCATGAAAAATGTGTGATATTTTTTGCCTCAACTTAAAATTTATTGGTTAAAATTATAAAATTTAATATTTTTTATTAAGACTTTAAAAGAGAATTTGACAATTATCAGATAATAAATGGTGTAAAATAATACTTTAAAAATACCAAATAATCACTGATTGTCCACAACTACGGAACAAGTTTGATTTGACCCCTTCTTAATTATCTCGATTTGGGCCTTTTACAAGCTTGGACATGGGTTTGTTTTGGTTTGGTTGAGTTTTTTGAAAACAATGTATATACATATATATATATATATATATATATTTAAAATTTTAAAATTTAATTTGACAAAAATAAATACATTTCTGGTATAAAAAATTTATTTTGGCTTCAAAAAGAGAAAATAGTCCAATTTTCAAAATCAGAGTTTTCAATACATTTATTTGTATTTTTAGTTTTTTAACATTTTGGTCAATTTTTATTTTTTAGATGTATCTAATTTAGATATACTCAAAAAGTAAAATATTTGAAAAGAAATGTTTAAAAAACTCAATAAATACTGTAAAATACAAAAAAACAAAAATCATTTTTTTTTGTATTTATTGAATTTTTAAAGATCTTTTTACAAATATTTTACTATTTAAGTAAATCTAAATTAGATGTATTTATAAAAAAAATTATCAAAATATTAAAAGATCACTAAAAATAAAAAGAATACAAATTCAAAATTTAAAATTCAAAATCTGATTTTAAAAATCGGATAACCAAACAGAACGACATGGTGAGAGAACAACTCCGCTACGTAGTTCAAAATATCAAAGGCTCGAATGATTCGAAATTTCAAAATGACGTCATTTTAAGATTTTTTTTATTCTCTTATCAGTAAAATAATATTTTTCATACCATTCGAACTCTACGCATTTGAGCTACGGATTATTTTCGGTGGTGAGAGAATATGTGCAGTCAACATATAGCCTATAGGTCATATAGGTAGGTATAGGTTCTACATACAAATTCTTTATCATTGGTTTGTATGCAAGAAAAAAATGTTGAAAAATATTTGTTTAATTTGGATTTACAAGATTCAATTTTTTAAAAATTGAAATTTTTTATTATTTTTATTTTTACTGATTTTTTTTAATATTTTAAGTAATTTTTTAATTTTTAGATACATCTAACATAAATATAATTAAAAAGTATAATATTTATGAAAAAAAAATCTTTAGAAAATTTCCAACATACCAAAAATATAAAAATATATAAATAAATAAATAAATAAATATGAGAATCAGTACAATTTTCTTATTCTTGTGTATTTATTGATTTTTTAAAATATTTTTTTTAAATATTTTACTTTTTGATACATCTAAGTAAGGTGCATATAAAAAAGTAAAAAAAAAATTACTTAAAATTTTAAAAATATTTACTAAAAACAAAAAACTCAATTTTTAGAAACTTAAACGCAGAAAATTAAAACCAAACGCACTGAATATTGATTTTAAAATTTTTTATTTTTCAACAAAAGGAGGAAAATGTTTTTTGTAGCCACCTAATTTCCATTATAATTACATGAAGTTAGATTTTATTGACTGATCATGTTCATTTTATTCCGATCTTTTGTCATGAGTATTATTGTATTTTTTAATAGATCACAATTTTTGTGTGCTTCCTAATTACTTGTAAGCTTTATCATTATCAACTATAAATATGGTTTCATATATACATAAAAAGGAAACTTTCTTCACATAATTGTTAGTTCAAATTTAGCAATTGAAATTGATTTCATTCTTTTTTTCCTTTCATGCATTTGAGATATTGGTGAAAACCACAAATTTATTTTTAAAATTTTCAACGGCATTAAATCAATAGGGATTGAATCTGATTCACTACTTATTATGTACTGATATGTATTGATCACTTAGTGTGGTAAAAACAATCAACAAACAACAATAATCTTATAATCCAAGGGTTAATTGCGGTTTGAACCGTATTTGAAAGTTTCTAACCAAGTTTGATAAAGGTATAGTTTCTCACTCTATTATGGCTGCCGATTATCTTGCAAAGATGGATCTTAAACTTAGTTGTACTATTTGCGGCCTATTGATTTTCCTGGGGTTGGGTACTATTTGCGGCCTATTGATTTTCCTGGGGTTGGGTACTATTTGCGGCCTATTGATTTTCCTGGGGTTGGGTACTATTTGCGGCCTATTGATTTTCCTGGGGTTGGGTACTATTTGCGGCCTATTGATTTTCCTGGGGTTGGGTACTATTTGCGGCCTATTGATTTTCCTGGGGTTGGGTACTATTTGCGGCCTATTGATTTTCCTGGGGTTGGGTACTATTTGCGGCCTATTGATTTTCCTGGGGTTGGGTACTATTTGCGGCCTATTGATTTTCCTGGGGTTGGGTACTATTTGCGGCCTATTGATTTTCCTGGGGTTGGGTACTATTTGCGGCCTATTGATTTTCCTGGGGTTGGGTACTATTTGCGGCCTATTGATTTTCCTGGGGTTGGGTACTATTTGCGGCCTATTGATTTTCCTGGGGTTGGGTACTATTTGCGGCCTATTGATTTTCCTGGGGTTGGGTACTATTTGCGGCCTATTGATTTTCCTGGGGTTGGGTACTATTTGCGGCCTATTGATTTTCCTGGGGTTGGGTACTATTTGCGGCCTATTGATTTTCCTGGGGTTGGGTACTATTTGCGGCCTATTGATTTTCCTGGGGTTGGGTACTATTTGCGGCCTATTGATTTTCCTGGGGTTGGGTACTATTTGCGGCCTATTGATTTTCCTGGGGTTGGGTACTATTTGCGGCCTATTGATTTTCCTGGGGTTGGGTACTATTTGCGGCCTATTGATTTTCCTGGGGTTGGGTACTATTTGCGGCCTATTGATTTTCCTGGGGTTGGGTACTATTTGCGGCCTATTGATTTTCCTGGGGTTGGGTACTATTTGCGGCCTATTGATTTTCCTGGGGTTGGGTACTATTTGCGGCCTATTGATTTTCCTGGGGTTGGGTTGTGTGCTGTGCAACTGGCCACAGACTGTTAAATGTTGGTTGAATCTTTTCGCATGGTTGTGCACAACATTGATGGTTCTGTTTTGAAGTTAGTTGAACCCTTTGGCATGGTTGTAAACAACATTGATGCTTCTGTTTTCTGTTTTGATGAGTGCGTTGATTAAAATCACTTAGGCTTATTATAGGTACTCAACCCATTTATTTAAAGTAAGGTTAAATTTATTTTATTCTATTGTGGTTTGATATTAAGGTACTTTATTTAAATATAATCAGAAAGTTTTCATGTGACTTCATATTTCATTTTTTTCAATTAAATTAACTGAAAGTGTATCACAAACACTATATTTTTATAGTGTGTTTCATATTCTAAAAAATTAAAAGCAAAATTAATACAAAAAGAAAATTTTACTCGCATTTTCTTCAAATCTAAAATTAGATTAATATGTTAATTCGAATAAAATAGAATATAATTAAGGAGAAATCACAACTCACATTAAATGGATTATCTCTTGTCTTACAACTAGCTAATAAAAATGAGTCACCATATCTTACTAGTAAGATTTTTCTCGGCGCTATTAGTTTGAACACCATATAACTAATATGATATGTATTTTGAGAATACCTAATGATTATCAAAAAAAATTACAAACTTAAAATATTTAACAAATTTGTGAAATATATAAATTATATAATGCTTATGAAGATAAAGCCATTTATTTTAAATAAATTAGTTGAGTACAGCCTAAGTGATTTTAATTAACTAATCCATCAAAAATGAAAATATAAGTGGCAATGCTGAGCACAGCTTTGCGAAAAGTTCAACTAACATCAATACCAAAGGTTCAACCAACATCAATACCACGTGGCTTCACTGCAGGAATTTTCAGAATTCGCGACGTTTAAAAAACGCCACTATAAACCTTAAAAACGCCGTTAAAGGCTAAAGTGACATTCATAACTTTCGTTGCAGATACGGCCGCCGTCTTAGGTATATGCACTACAGGAATTTGGAGATTTAACGGCGTTTAATTAACGGCGTTTTATTAAACGTCACTTTTTTTAAAATTAACGGCGTTTTTTAAACGTCACAATTGTTATTAATTAAAACGGTGCCGTTTTGTGATCAGAAGACGTTTGGAAAGCGCCTCCAAATCCTGTCTCTCCTCAAGCCCTATTCTGTCTCTCCAAACCTTTATCTTCAAAACCCTATTTTGAGCACCGCCGTCTACATATGAAGTTCGAATCTCTTCCTCACTCTCTCTCTCTCTCTCTCTCTCAGAGGATCGAATCAATATGAAGTTCTCTCTCTCGATTCGGTGATTCTTCTTCAACTCGGTGATTCTTCTTCTTGAGCACAGAGCGATTGCGATTTCGAAGTTCGATTTTGAGCACCGTGATTTGGAACTCTTCTTCAGATCCGTGATCTTCGTGTCTTCTCGATCAAGGTTAGAGTTTGCTCTGTGCTCTGTTTGGACAATCTTCGTCTTCTTAGATGTTTCTTCAGGCCCGTGAATTCTCTCTGCGTGCTCTGTTTTCACTTTTTGCTTAAAATCAATTATCTTCTTCGTTTCTAGTTTTACTTATTGTCTATTCTCAATCACTATTAGGTGAATGATCGATTGATTCACTTCAGTTTGTCTCTATTTGATTTTTTCGTTTTTGCTTTTTCAAGAATCTGCATAATAGCATACAATTTAATTTGTCTATTTATGGAATTATACTGATGTATAAATATGTGTCGTGCATTTCGTTTTGATCAAAATGCAACCAGCTTGATTTTCTTTTTGTGTTTGTGATTTTTTCGCCCCCTCTTGCATTGTACTTGAATGTTCTGAAACCTGGAGAATTATGGTGATCTATGATTCACATAATTATGATCGGAGTGAAAAGGGACATAGGTAATGTTTAGAATTTGTTGAACATGCCAATTGTGCAATATAAAAATTATTTGAATTAAACTAAGATCAAAAGAAAATTAAACATAGTAATCAGTAGTTTGAATTAAATTATTTTAGATATCGATTTATTTTTTATATTTATAGAATTTGCATTTAAAAAAAAGTCCTCAAGCCTTGATCTGTGAGTTTGTGATCTGTGTGAGTTTTGTCAGCTGCCTCACCTATTTCTAATGTGTGTTTGAGCTGTCCATATACTCATATCATTTGTCTTTTTCAGTATAAAGGCACACACTTAGCATCAGGAGGTGGGCTATGCAACGTCCTCAGCCTGATCTTGTGAAAAAGGTATGCGATAGAGTTGCACAGGAAGTGTTCATATGAAGTCTGTTAGACAAACCTTTGTAGGTTGGCAGACACTATTTATTTTTATTTTTATCTGCATCCCAGAGTTAAGTTCATCCTATTTCTAAAATTTGATAGTGAATAGAGTGCTCTTTATGCTTCTATGAGTTGTGCGCGTGAATTGTATAAAAATTTTTCCCAGTAATCTTCCTGAGATTGCATAGTT